CTGCTTGTTATATTTGAATATTTCTATACAAACCGGACTGTTAAACGTATGACGGAAATATCCCGGCAGACATCGGCTGTAAAATTCTCTAGGGCTTCATTTTTGTGTATAGTTGTATAAGATGAAAATAATTATTATTTGAATTTAAAGTTGTAAAAACAAGAGCGTAGTAAGTACCTAACTATTAATAACCTAACTAAGTATTATGTACCAAACTACCGACGCACAGTGAAAAATACGTAATTTTGCGTAGTAAGTGTAAAACTTTTATTACGTCGCAAACGGATTAACTTGACGTAAACGAAGCTTTTATACACATATATAAATACATTCACTATATAAATCCATCGCAAGTGAACTTGTTGGCTGTGTATATACTCGTGTACATATAATATCCACTTCTTTGTGAATGAACTTTTTTATTTGTTCAGAGCAATTCAATGTCGATTTTACACTCACAGGCAATGGCAATGGTATTCGTGTGCAGTGCCGTTTTGAGTATTTGCGAGGCTTAGTAGTGGCGTAACTAGAGTTCAAATCTTGGAGGTGCTACAATAGTTAAGCCCTATAACAGTAGCGGGGGCGAGCTCCACCTCCCCCCCACACATACCTTCTGACATAACACATTGTTCCGGAATAAGATTTCAATAATGTTCCTATGTTTGTATTTTATTAAACTTAAAGTGGAAAAAACATAATAATATAGAAAGTTGAATAATTCACCGACGAAATCGTGTAATTCGATTTGTATCGATGAAAAAAATACGCTCCTACTCCACCACCACTGTGGCAGTGTGTGGGGACCTTTATCGGTTGGTCGTCGTTATCATCAACTGATATACTCGGAAATACTCCGCGTCTTAATTTATCGCAAGATAATTATTATAACCGATCTTCTTGTGTTGTTTTTGTTCGCTCGGGTGTCAATACGTTTTCTGCAGTCGAAGTGGTCTGGTCTAGGAAGTCGTGGTAAAGTCGTTGCAGTCAATAATTTTTACGGGAATTTGAATAGGTTTCTATCCTTGATTTATTTGTTCGAAAGTCGTAACAATCACCTAGCGGTCTCCTACAATGAACACTACTAAACAATCAGAAGGTTGGGGAATGATAACGCGTTCAAAACGAGCTCGTGAATTAAAATCGGGAACTTCTGAATCAAAGAAGACAAAAACGTGTAATAGCCAATCTAATGATTCTGCTCCCGTCGATTTAAAGGTGAGTTAAATGTTTGTGACAAAAATCTAAGTTTCAATCACACAAATTGTTAAAATTAGTGATGCAATAAATACTAATGTGAGTATTAATGATTTTTGAATGTATTAGAATGGTCATTATACTAATATTAAAACAATTTTATTTTATAGATTTCAAATCGCAATAAATTAATTTATGAACTGTTGACCTCTTTAATTTTATTAAAAAGTTAAAATTCATTGTTAAATGTTAAAGCTTTTTAGTTGAACGGTTAAGGTATTGCAAACATTGTAACTATTGAAAAGTGGATTTATTTTCCATATTTTACTCTATTTAACTACCTATACGCATATTTTGTACCTAAATATAATATAATATGATATATATATATATAAAAAGAGGTACCTAGGTAGGTACATAAATTATTTTTTTCAATGTTAATGTTTTATTTTCACTATTCTTTAGTATTATTACTATTTTTAAAATTACAAATAACATTTTACTGTTTTAATTTTTCATTTCTAATTTATAGAAAAATATAAGAAAAGTACTGGTATTTTAAATAGTTGGTTAGGTACTTTTGTAAACAACTTGTAAAGTAAAAAACTTAACCCATTAAGTTTAAAAGGTGATTTTATATAAATAATATTTAAAGCACTTAATAGTAAATTCATGTATTTGGAACATTTTCAGGTGTTGTGGTATATTTAAATAATTATTACAAACTACATTTCATTCGATAATATGAAAATAACAAAATATTATTAAATAAAAAATAATTTTTGAAACATAATGAAATATGTTCTATCAATGATAAAATAATAATAAAAAATTGCTTAGATTGTTGTAAATGAAGTGTTATAATATTTACGACGACTGGTTTCGAATAAAATTTATAAAATGAACGGTTACTATCTCGCCTGACTCCATGTTCATTTTTTTTTTATCGATTTCTTATTGTTAAATATTTCTTATAATAAAGTGATTTATATAATTATAAATTATACACGGGGGAAAATATAAATATTTAAATAAATTAAATTTAATAAGTATTTAATTTGAATATTAAATATAAATTATACATGCGTATACATGGGGGATGTGGAGGTCAGATACCCCTTTTTCTTTAAATATTATTAAATAATGTGTAAAGGTGTTAGAAATGTAAAAAAATAATGATAAAATAAAAATGATGATTGTTAGCAAATCATCCCCCCCATACAACACTGAGTGAGTCTTAAAAAACTGAAGGGCGAGACTGGGCAAGTGTCCCGTTTGCCCTACTTGTCGGGACGGCACTAATCGTGTAATCCAGTGCTTCCCAATCTTTTTCGACTCACGGCGCCCTTTTTGATGTAAGGTTTTTTCAGAGCGCCCTTCTCTAAGTCATAACATGACTAATCATAAGGAAAATGTTAGACTCGATAGTATTTCATGACGGCGCGGCGCCCTTATACAGACATCGCGGCGCACACTTTGGGAACCTATGGTGTAATCCAAACATTATTTTTTAATAATTTTTGATAATTTTCAGAAAACTAAACGGCTATTTGCACCATACAAATATAATTAATGTACATTTAGGTTCATGTCTGTTGCCTATGGATTTAATTTCGAATTAATACGATAGAATTAAGAATAATTTTAAAACTGTCCGCTGGAGGTATGATATTATATGCAAATACAAACATTTAAACATTAATGGATTTATAACATTACCAAGACATTAATGAGTTAATAAGTTTTAAGTAGTAATTTAACTTTGTAACTTATTTCATTATTGTATTTACTTATTAAATTGACTCATTTCCATATATGTTATCTTTATGATTGACGTATTTTTTTTTTTTTTTAATCCCAATTAGTTTTGATTTTCGAGACCAGAAAAATATTTTTGTAAAATACCGCGTTCGATAACAACTTCATGGAATTAAGAAAATGATCAAAATAAAATCTCAACGATTCCAAAGAACTTGGTATTTTTATTTTTAGATCATATTTATTTTACGTAGAAACATATTGATCGTGGTATTTAATAATAGGGGTTTTGCCGGTCTCGGGAAAAGTAGTGACCGTTTAAAGACTATTTAAAAATAGCTTTACCGCCTATGAAAATAACACTTCTATCGTTATAAAAAATTGGCCATAAATCTATATTACAAAAATAGGTACATATTATCATTGATTATAGAATAAAATTATTACTAGAATTATACCAATAATCAATGGTATTTTAAAATTTGTATCCCCTATAAGGCTTATATAACATAGCGGCAAAGGTACAAAAATGACATATCTGCGCCATAATTTGTAGGACATGGTGAGCATCAATATAATATTATTTTCCAATTAACAAATAAATATAATAAATCGGTTGATTGCGATTATTTGAAAAAGAAATTCAGTATTTTCAACAGCACACAACTCGTGTGATATGCATTATTTTTGATGGTCTGTTGGTAATGTTTTCATTTGATTTTCTTGTACAATTATTACGATAAATGAGACTGGGCATATTATGATCGTTCCTATATCCGTGTAAATGCTTATGTACTATTGCAGTCATAAATTTATCTATCTCTATTCTAGCAGAATATTTTTTTTTAGTACACCTCAATGACCAATAGTCGTTTCTTTTATAAATTTATGTTTTTGGTTTTTAAATAAATGAACACGACACGTTTTTTTTTAACATGAATTGATAAATTTTAATTTTTGCTCCCAGGGCGTAACTCTGGGTAAAATTATATCATTTTTCATACTCCGGAAATAATCATAATAAATTACAGTTATAACTATATTTAGAAACTAACTCCATGTGTTTCTAATCAATCTGTACTTTATGGAGGATCTCTTAATTTTTCGAATCTGGGGTAAAATTTCCCATCCCCTCCCCTGCTGACGATGGTTCTGAAGTTATGCCAGTTATGGCTATATTGATCATCTAGCTCCTCGTGGATTATGTCACGTATTGACGTGCTGTAAGGACGGTCGTACACGATGAAGTTTTTCAGACAGGTTTACCAGAGCATGTATGCGAGTTTATTTTTATGCAACTATACAGTTTATAGAAGATAAAATTGTTTTCGGTTGTATTCCGAGAAGACAATAAATATGACCTTGTGGCTGACTTTTGAAACTAGTTGTGTAAACTATTAAGTACCTACTGGAAAAACAAAATTTGGGTTATTATTCCTACCACCTAGGTGATTTGATGAACCAGAAATGTAAATTTTATGTGTGAAATATCCGTGTCGAACAATATCTCATCACCAAGCCGGTGCTTTATAACATATTTTCATTGGTTTAAAATATTTTTAAATATCTCTTAAGATAAACATATGTATAACTACGTTTTAATGGATACGGAATTATTAATGATTGAAGTAGATATCGTCAGTACCGCGCCAGTGGCGGTTTTAGGAGGGGGGTGATAGGTGGACCCCCTCTCTTGAGCCGTGTAAGAACTAATAATATGAATGAGCAAATGGTTTACTAAAAATCATCTTCACGATAATTTTATGTCAAAACTGTTTACTGTTGACAAAAATGTTTGCTTCTATAAATTAGGACTGTTAATTAAGATTGAATAAAAAATAATTTTTATTTTAATTTTTTTATTGATACCTATATCTAAATATTATGCCCCATTGTCGTTTTAAGTTTACAGAACTTAAAATTACTTCTCATTATCACTAATCGTAAATCTAAGTTGGTGTTATCGTCAACGGCGTAGTAGACGTCTAATCAGCTGAGAACGCCGAACAGCTGCTATGTGCGGTCGACTGTCTGGCGCGACGTGTTTCTTATCAATTGCGTTGAAACACAGAACGACGAGACATAACGCCTGAAAACTTGTGTAAAAGAATCGATTCCAAAAAAATAAGAACGAAAATTGTCTCCGCGTTTTAACGGCTAGAGTGCCAAACGTGATCAGTGTGTTCGGTGCTTCGACGATAAAAACGAAAAATATTGTCATCGTTGTCGCCGTAATAATTATCATTACGTCACCGGTTGATCGTGTGCTGCTGGTCTGCTTACGGCAATGCTCATTCTTTATGTGATTCACTACGACCGTCTGCTCGGCCGGGTGATCATCCTCACCATGTTGTTGCTGCTTATGCTGTTTGTCGACTTTTACATCACCCACCAAAGTCAAAGTTTTATCCATGCAATCAACAGGCAGTTCAAAACCGTTTCGACTTACTGAATGCGCAAGCCTGGCACCGCAATGGAGTCTACGGTACCGTATTCACTCGTGTAACTACAGTATTTACCCGGATTCGAGGAGTATCTTCTCTCACAAACTGTTTGGTGGTTGAGCGTCATGAATTATAACAACTAATGATAAGGGGAAGAGAAAACCGAGTTTTCTCATTTTTATTTATATCCTTATTAGTGATGATGGGACTTGTCGTTCACTTAAGTGAACTAGTTCATCATTCACTTAAATGATCAATTGAACAGTATGTAAATAGTTCCCTGTATGATACGTAATTATTTCATTTAACGACTAAATAATTATGTATCATTATAGTTGGATAAACAATTCTATTCATTTTTTATAATTTATGTATTAAAAAATTATTGATAATACATTGGTTTTGAAAAAGAAATTATTATTTTGATCAAGAATGATATTGATTTCTCATACTGTAATATTACTGATGAGCGTACTAATAAAAAATTGATGAAAAAATGTTAAGGTTAATAAATACTGTTCATTCAGTTGTTCATTGAACATTTTAGTAGTTGACTGTAAATGAATATTTTGTGTACAATGAATGATTGAACAATGTTCATCTATATGTAAACTAGTTCATTCATGAATGACATATCTTTATTACTTGGATAAAATAAAGAAGCAACACTTTGTATGTAAAATTTTCTCTTCCTATATTTTATAATACTATTAAAAGAACCAGGCTTGAAATGAAATTAATTTTACATTTTGTTTAGCGTTAAAGCGCTTTACCAACAAACTGTACCCGTTTCAATTAGGTCTTCTTTTTTTACTATTTTTTATGATTATACTAGTATTACTAGTTTTTATGTGAAAATACTTTTTAGACCTCTTATCTACACCTAATATAAATCAGTAACATGTTATTAATATTTGAATATTTGATTATTTGATTATAGGAGAATGAAGCAAAAGCATTGTTCCGCAAAGGTATTGAATGTGAACGTGATGGTAATCCTTACGAAGCCACTCAATGTTACAAACGAGCATTAAAATTGGACCCAGATGTTGAAAAAAAAATAGCCCATGAAGATGCCATTGCACGTCCTATGGATACCTGTAATAATGAATTATTTCTTTTAATTATCCATAGAATGAGAGTTAACCATTTTTTTTCCTTTATAATTATGAAGTAAATGATCAAAATGATGAAAGTGAAGATGAGTATGATAATAAAGAAGACCTTTTTCTAAGATTTCAGAGGATCATGGGACCACAAATATGTTTTCCAGAACATGAACAACGTGTAACCCCCCAATTTATTACTTAACATCTTTAAACATAGTACATATTTTAATATATTATTGTTTTTCAGGCTACTCATTTTTCAGTTCTTCCTCCTGAGCTCATCTTGTACATATTTAGATGGGTTGTATCTAATGATTTAGATTTACGTACATTGGAACAATGTTCTGCTGTTTGTCGTGGTTGGTACTTATGTGCTAGAGATCCTGAGTTGTGGCGTCGAGCTTGTTTGAAGTAAGAAACATATTCTATTAATTTTAGAAATTGAAAGAAACAATTGTTATTTAAATCTAAAGTGAACTGTCCATCATGCGGATTACGTTAATATACAGCATATTCTATCATTATATATGTTACAGTTAAAAGTATTGAATTCCGTTATTTTATGAAATAACTAGGTTGTTCTTGAATTATCTACAAATGTTAGTTAAAGTATGAAATTATACATGAAAATTGTACTTTATTTAGTTATTTCATATCTAGTTATTCTATACAATTTTAGTTTGATATATGTTAAAGTATAAAATACATTAAAATTTAAAATATATTATAACTTTTTATTTATTTTAAATTAAATTAATTAGTTATTTGTACATGCAAGACTATTGTAGAGACATACAAACCAACACTGAACGTGTGTAACTGTAAGACAATACAAAGCTTAAAACCTTACTAATTTTATTGATAATCTTAATAATACATACTTAATAACAATACATGTACAATTATAATTTTATCTAGAACGATAAACATACATGAACACTGCAGTCACCGACAACAAGATTGTACATGTATAAATGTAATAATTTGACACATTAATGATTTGATGCCGGGCAATGTATAAAATAACTAGTTAAAGTACATAAATTATGTACATTATCTACACATTTTGGCTATTTTATTAATTATCAAGTAATTTCATAAAGTAACTGATTCAATACTTTAATTGTATCTTATACATACATCGGTTCTTTTAAAGTATTATGTAATTTAAATATTGAGCCTGAAACAAAAATAATTATTCGTAATAAGTGTTATAAAGTTTTCAATTTACAAAGCTAAACTTGCTAGTATATTTGAATTATTTTATTGATATTTTTTTTTAATATTGTATCGTAAGTAATGCGCTGCTATTCGGCGGGATATATTTCACATTTCATCTTCAGAATTTAACTTCAGAAATTACTTATTATTCTGAAGATAAAACTGATAATGATTTTTAAACATTAATGTACTATTAAAGATATTTATATATGGAAAAAATCCTTAGTCTATAATAGCTATGTTGTTTCATGTGTTATTTTTGTTATTTTTTAAACATTATATTGGAATGATAACTACTTGGTATGTCTGATATTTTTTAAGATTTTGGCCTTCAAGTTCTGATGACTTGGCTCCATTTGATGGCAGTTGGCGACGGATGTTCATAGAACGTCCTAATGTTCTAACAATTGGTTGTTATATTTGCAAAGTATCATATGTACGACAAGGTGAAGAATCATTCAGAGATAATTCCAATGGACCTTCTTTCAATGTAGTTTATTACAGATACCTAAGGTGAAATAGAAACTTCAATTTATATATATATTTAAATTCCAGATTACATTTATAATGCAAAATATTTATGTATTTTTGAAAAAACGCCAGGTAGAATGTACAATTGAAAATAATTGTTATTCGTAATAAAATACTAAAAATGTCATAAAAATCATTATTAATATTAATAATTCAATATAGCTCGATATTTTATTATTACAATGTTTAGAGTTATTTAATAAAATATATCAACAATTCTTTACGATGTAGCCTGAAAATAATATTGTAATTTCTCTATTATAATTTTATTGATCAATCTTATCTAGTTTTTACATATAAATATGTTTTATAATTATTTTATTATGGTTTTATAGGTTTTTTTCTGATGGTCGTGTTCTAATGTTACTATCATACCATCCACCTGCCAAAATAGTGCGCAAATTACAAACTAATGAAACTGCACCCTTCAATGTGTGTCCTGGTCACTACCGTCTGTCTGGCAATAAATTATATTTAACACTTGATAGTGAAGGTGAAGAATGTCGCCGGACCCGGAATAAATATGTATTTTGTAATGAGAACAGTGAAAGAAAGACAACATACAACATGGTTTGTAATTCTGAACAGATGATTTATATTTTTAATAATGTCCTTTTGTAGAATTTCCTCAATCATCAAAATTATTTGATTATACCCATTACTAATTTTATTACTCATTCATAACGTGTATGAAATTTCATTAATTTTTTAATTTTAGATTTTGGAAATATCGAAGTACAGATCCAAACACAACTGGAAATTGCAGTGTATAGATTATGAAATAGTCTATAGAAACAAAAATAACGAAGTAATGGTTACTAAGTATGTTTTGTCTAACAATCGTTTTCCACCATTTATATTTTCACGTGTAAAATGTTTCGCTAATGAATCTGTACATGTATTATAAATGTATGTGTTAAACATAATTGTGTATAAGGATATTGCTTAATCAATTGTGTTGTTTATTTTTCTTTGTTGATATAAAACCACATACACGCAGATATGAGTATGTGTTTCTGGGTAGATACCGTTTTTATGAGATTCATATAATTCAATTCTGTGATTTCTACCCAACTATATTTAAATCTTGTTATATTACCTGTATTCCATACAAGAAGTGTATTTATATTATATTTATTTATTTTAGTTTTTTAATTTTTCAAATTTAACTTTTGAGTTGTTTAAATATTAACTTACACTGTTTGATAATAAAATATTGAACAATTTTTGTTTGACTATCTTATATTTTATATTTTGAACAGTGAAAGTTTTTAGTGTTATATTGATTACTTAATTTTAGAATACGACTAGAATTTGTGTATGCAAGTTAAAATTCATCATTTATAATGGGGATATTAACATATATTTAATTCTGTCATATTATCAATATATATTGCTATGTTAATTTTATGGCCCAAACAGTACTTGCTATGTACTTTTTTTTTTAATGTTATACCATTATGTCAAGTTTTAAGTTACGCTTATTTATATATTATAATTAAATGTACATTTTTGTTTAAATAAAAGTAAAAAGATGAATATTACTTTTTGTTTATTAATTCATTTAATTTTATTAAATAATTTTTTTTCATTGTTAATTATACAATACGAACTGTCATTTTACCAAATATATAATTATATCTTATCAGAATATAGAAATTAAGATTAAAGTATGAGACATCCGTTGTTTCTTTCATTTCGGGTGCGCTGTTGAATGTTGAGCTGATGATTGTACTGATGTTGCTTTCTCTGCTGCTCTTGCCGCCTCGTTTGCTCAAAATATCTTTTCTGCTCTTGCTGCTTTAGAAATTCATTCTGTCTCTGCCTTTGCCGTCTTAGCAATTCATCCTGTTTCTGCTGCTTTTGCCGCCTCAACAATTCATTCTGTCTTTGGTGTTCATACCGTTCTGCTGTCGTGGGTAAAAGTTGGCCATTTTTAAAATTGTTCTTGTGATTTTTGTTGAAGTAACGGCTCATCGATAAGTCTTCCAATCTTCGTTCGTAGTACACAAAATGTAGCGGATAGAACTCGTAGTCGTTGTATTTGACGTACACGCGTCCGTTGGGGCTCATCGTGGTGTCTGCATTTTCGGGCGGTATGCTCAATCCCGAGTTCGGCTTCACTATCTTAGTAGACGTCTTGTGCACCAGCACAGTGCAAACCATTATCACACGTTTGACTACAAACATTTAATATAATCGTTGAAAACAAAACCGAAATATAGTAAAATATAGATGGTATATGTATAAACATATGGTATACGTTATACATTTTTTCCCCTTTAAATAAAAATAATACATTGTGCGGTCAACAGAAAGTCATACAATCACTGACTATGATAAATTAGCAAAAAATTTAAAAATGGTCATGTCTAAACGTATCTTAATTTAATAAGGATATGATACGAACTTTTTCAAGTAGGTCTAAATTTAGATTTCAAATGCTTGGATAATTATGTATTATAGTGTTTTAAACGAAATTTCTAGTTAATTTCCGTATTAGTACCTACGTATAACCTGCAATTCTAAGGAAGATATATTACTATTGTACTTATATTAATTCGTCAACATTATTATAGTTTATCAGTAGTAAGTTTATAATCACTATTAATATTCTTAGAAGTTGGATGGAAATGGTGATGTAGTTTAAACGCAATTTACATATATTTTAATTTTTAAATAAACACGAAGGACCTAATATTGTTGTTTTTCTGGGAGGAAGGTCATGACCCCCCCCCCAGGAGCCGCGCCTGGCTGTCACCGATTACAATTACATTTTATCGCTTCTAATTGCGGTCTACGGGCCAAATATAGGTCACTATTGTTATGGGTAAAATAAGTTTTGCCCAGGGCCTCGCAAAAGGTAACGCCGGCCCTGGGCGGTCTCACCTTCGCCGGTTCTGTTGTCCGCGAAATAGTCCGCGTAATCTGCGTCGTCGCTGAAAGACACGCCGCGCCCGAACCTGGAGCGCTTGGTCCGCCGCCAGTCCAGCCCGTGCTCCAGCGACTCCTTGGCCCTCTGCTCGGTGGTCACGTGGTACAGTGTCATTTCGCAGTCGGCCGCTCCGGTCTCCAACCGTATTTCCTCCCTGCGCAACAGGTACAAGCCGTACATGTGTGTGGCGTACACGTTGTGCACTTTGTCCACGCGACACTGTTCCGACACGCACACATACATATCGTTATTTAGTTATTAATTGTTTTTCGTATGCGTTATAGATGATTTTTTTTTTTTTTTTAAAATTTCTAATTGTCATTTTGAAAAAAAATAAATATAAAATATTGATTCCCTGATAAGTTTACCGAAAGATCGATATTTAAATGTCCAACAAGAAATTTTAATAATGTAATAACGAAGTTTTACTATTTTATACATTTCACTGTGCAGTAAAATCACGTAGAATCGATATTTTTAAAAAACAGTTTATATTCTTTAATTTTGTTCTCAACTTTTTTATCACAAAATCACTTCAGGAGGTGTACCGAAGAAAATACAAAAGTATCTATTTGCACAAAATTGAAAACGTATTCCCCCGACACGTGCTGCTATATTGTATTTGGTGTCGATTTCGGTAATTATTTAACTCCAATCCCCCCCTCTCACCACGAGCAACAAACCAAGAACCAACGCAATAATTATGTACTACGCTTATCCGTGTTTGTCCATAAATGCGTTTTTAGTAAAAATAACACTCATTTATTTTTATAAAATTACGACAGTTAAATTAATCAACTTTAACGTCATTATCTTGTTTGATCCTCTGAAACATTGCCCATTTGTATTCGATTTTTTTGGTAGTTTACACTATACTGTATGCCAGCGGTTCTTAACCTGTGATCTGCGGTCCTCTAAGGATCTGCGATGTCACATGTCGGGGGTTCGCGGCAGCCTTAACATATAAGATACGTCAATACGCGACACGAGTGCATTATTACAATATTGTTAGATTATTGTTGATTATTATTTTTTTTCGTATATTTTTTATTATATAGATCTGGTCTTTATACGAAGTTCAAAAACTTGTATCTCAAGCAGAACATTAACCATTGCATTAAGTTAACAAAAATTGAATTTTAAGAATATTAAAAAAAAAAAATGAAAACTAAAATAATTAAATTTAAATCAACTGAAAAATTAAGTGTAATAAAAATAATTATAAATATGTATGTTTTGTTGTCTACTAATATTAATTTATTGTATAAAATAATCAATGACGTAAACTGGGTGGTGCTAATGTGGCACTTGCAACACCACATCTAAAATGTGATGGTGCAAAGATAAGTTTTTATACCACTAGAAAATCATTGAAATTTGTATACCTATAATATTATTTTCAAGAGCCAAGGAAATCAGCATACTAAAAACAAAATTTGATTGTTTTTTTATTAATATTATAATAATAAAGGTTTTACTGCTAAAATAATTCAAAATTTATTTGTTATTTAAAGAAATATATGGGAAAATATATAGTTTATTGGGAAGAATTTTACTTAAGAAATTGGAAAATTGGTGTGTTAGAAATTATAAGGTGAGAATATGCCTCTGCAGTAGCGTAGCCAGGAACTTTTTATGGGGGGGGGGGGTTCAGAAAATGTATATATATTTAATCGGTTGCAACCAAAAACTGCACATTTTATGGATTGCCAAGTAAGTATATCGTACTGCCAAATACCGCACACTTATAGTGGGTAAAAACCTCGCTATATAATGTATTAACAATAATGTATTTTTTATAAACGAATGTTGTATATATAATTTTAAAGTTAATTGTTACATTCAAAAGCTAATTTTATCACACGTTAATGTGCTCGAAAAATAACCAGTACATTTGTCGATCGAAACGCGTGGTATAAAGTAAAGTTTATATACATATATATATATGTTATATAAAAAAAGTATTTTTATAAATGGATTTTAAAACTATTGATAGTAAAGGTAGTTAAGGTAGTAAAGGTTGTGAGACGGGATGGTCTTAAAGGCCCATTAAATCCTAATAAAAAAAAAGAAGAAATTACTATAAAGGGGGTAATTTTTTTTTTTTTTTTATATTTTAATTTTTTGAAAAAACGTCGGCAAAAAATTTTAGCCACTAACATTTTTATATATTTTTTAAAATTTTATATTTTAAATTTTTCAATACCTATACACATTGTACCTCAATAAATTGTTTTTGAATAAATATTTAGTATAAATAATAAATAATAATTATATATCACTATAAAATGCGCGGATTTTGGTTACAAGAATTTAAAAAGTGTGCGGTTTTTGGAGTCGTCGATTTAATCTTATCACTATCATTTTGACTATTATTTGTATTGATCTCGGTATTTTTAAGTCTGGTTGACATTAGTTTTTTTGACTAATAAATAATTAGTTTTTCTAGTCTGCTTATTTGTTAGATACTTTGTCTATAATAATCAGAGCCGGATTATGGTTTTTAGGGCCGTAAGCACATTCATATAAATGGCCTACACATAATTTTCATACACTTAAAAAATTAATTTTATTTTCCATTATTTTTTAGGTATCACAAATAAAATTAAAATAATTATAATTTACATTTGAATCTACATTTAAAATTTTGAATTCTTATATTAATTTTCTTTATAATTACATTATTTAATTATTAATTACTATAATTTTGTTTATTTAATATTATTTTTAGGAAAACCCCGAGTCGCGATAGTATTAAACTAGTAAACTTCTGAGTACTGATCACATCATAAAGGTAAATTAATATGATGAAATATTTTTGGACATTAGTTGGAATAACGAAATAATTGATACAAATCACAGTTACAAGTTTACAACAAATTTGATAATCATAATATTAAATTATTTATGATATAAAATCATAAATTCATAACTACTCATGAGAAAAAAATTCTTAAATCTTATTTTTAATATATATAAATTTGATTTTAAAAATTATGGGCCGTAAGCAATTGCTTATTTTGCCTACCCTTTAATCCGGCTTTGATAATAATAAATAATAATAATTATAATAATAACAACAATTTAGGAACTAGAAAATAATATAGGAACATAAAATACTAGATATTAGAATATTTTCTGTCCAATCACTTAGGTATACTAAAAATTAAATTTTAAAAATACCTTATCATAATGGAATGTTTAGACGTCTTAGAATGATGTAAAATTAAAATAAAACAAATATAATGGAATACAAATGTCAAATACAAACGAATAAACGAATTATAACTAAATCAGTGAGAGACCAACTATTAACTAATAACTATTAGTTCAACAATAAGGTGCTTGTGTTAAATGATCGACGAGCCACGAATGCAATAGGTATACCCAAAATAAATTTTGAATACAAACAATGATATCGCTTTTATCTCAGTTATGGGGACCAGACGACCGATTTAGAATCAACCGTTGTAGAAAATCTAAATATGTTTCCAAGCAAAAATTATCAAAGTAGTAGTAAAGTATTCATATATTATTATAATATTATGACTTGTGTGCGTGTGTATGTACAGCGTGTGTATAATACGTTTATAGTGTTTATATAAATTATTAATATGATTTCCAAGTCAAAATTCTTAAATATAAAAATGGAAAAACCGTGTTTCATGTAAAAGTTAATTTGCTATCTCAGGTTCATGGGGGGTTTCTGACCCCCCCCCCATGAATACGCCAATGTGCTTCTGCACCACTAGAAATTGGATCCAATTTATGCCACAGAAAATAATTATTATAGTTTTGGTTTTAATTATGTGAGATGTAAAAAAAATTGGTAGAGGGTCCGTAATTTTTAAAAAATCTTTTATCAGAGGTCCGTGATCTACAAAAGGTTAAGAATCAATGCTGTATGCGATTTTTTAAGTCACATGTTATTTTATTGTAACATAACTAGGCGTTATGTATCAAATATATTTTGAACTTATCGCGTCGCTCGTACGCACCGTGAAACGCAATATTTTAATTGACGGGAAATGATCACCCGCATTAAAAATTACTAATTACTTACAAAAAAAAAAAAAAATTGTTTTATTTTATAACTATGAATTGTTACGTCTCATCGGCGGACATCCGTACCCGATAGCCTCGAGGAGCAAACATTAGCTATCACGTATTAATTACTAATTATACATTATACAAGTATAAACAGCGTACACACGGGGCGGTTCGGGATAAATCCCCCAAGGACCGGAAAAAAACCATTTCGTCCGAGGAGGAACAAAAATAGACGTTTGATATTGATATAAAAATTATGTTTATAATGTAATCTCCTTTCCGTAAGAAAATTGAATTCATGCCAATGTTTAGGTACGCAGTAACTTTACTACATATTTGGTTCAACTAATTGGTAGTATTTGCATGAAAAGGTATACGAAACGCTCAATATGGTAAAGTGTCCAAGAGATGACCACAGTCTCCTTTAGTTTTTTTTCTTTGGCATTTTAAGCACATTCTTATATTATGATAGTCTATGTTTGACCGCGAAAATTTCAATTTTTAATCATTTGGAACGTACAACGCAATGCAATATGATAACCTCAGATATAGCATTCTGCATTCAGTACACGTCCCATAGTATTAACCTAAACTGTATAATAATTATTTAACTTAAAAAAGGCTCGTTTAATAATGATAAAACTGCTCGGTGTACTTGAGTGTACTCAAGTAATACTCAAGTATAACTGAATTTATAGAAAATAATCTTCGTATTATAATACAACAACAACACTGTTTTAACAAACGACACAGTCGAATAGTGGATATTGGAATTCGGATCACGACTATATCTATTATTATTATACGTGTAATTATTTTTGAATTCCGAATATAGAATAGATTAGTTTATTCTGTGTTCCGAAAAATATAAATTATACGAAAACGTATAATTACGGCATTTCTAAATAAAACCAAATCGATTTTTTTGTATTCCCAATGGAAAATTATTTTTGAATAAATAAAATTATATAGAAAATAAAAGTTTTACTATAAAATAATTTACATTATTTAATTACGTACGTAACCTAACTTATATAGATAGGTCGCCGATATTGTTGGTTTTCGGGAGATATAATTGTATAGGTTGGTATTATTATACTGAAGCCGAAATATTAGTTATCGTCAGACGTTAGTTCGAAAACGCTATGATGGTAATATTGATTAGGGAATAAATACCTAGTTAATTCTACAATCAACCGATGGTCATAAGAAAACGAGGACAGACGGTAATTTTATTTGTCGCCGTAATCGTTTAAAACGGTATTGGCGATTGGTTGTGTTTCATAACGATTAAATGTTTCGTTGGACCGCTAAGTATTTATCACGCACTCAACTACATTTTATGTAATTGGTCGTTTAGGTTTTACATTTTAATTGTATCCGTAGAGTGGGTATGGTATTGTTTCAGGTTAGTAAAAAAAAAAACTTGACGATTTTTAACCGTTTGCGCAGCTTACGTATTTAGTATTTTACGAGCATTGTTCGTTTGCTGCATAGTAATTTAGCAGTGGTTCGCAACCTTTTTCGATTCATGTCATCTTTAGCCACTAGAATCAAATACTGTGTGTCCCTAACACCGAAATAATAAACAATCTTAAGGTGCGTTTACATTAGAGCCCGCATACGAACGAATGGCGCACGAATAATGTAAACAGTCCGATCGCATAGGAACGAAGACGTTCGTTAGGTTAGGTCGTGGATCGACTGAAGAGCGGTAAGATCAAACAAACCATCCGTTCAATTTAAACGGCATTCGGCCCGTATACGTTGTTTGCGTCGTATTTTATGTTCAATATTTTATTTTGACTCGATTGTGGAGTGGACGGACGATGAATGTTCACATCTTATAAATTTATACAAATCAAGACCAATTCTATGGGATCCTGAGCATGCCCATTTTAAAATGGGCAAGAAAAAAATTGACTTCTGGTTGGAAATAGCCAATGAATTAAAACGAGACTTGAACGAAACGGCGAAAAAAATAGAGTCTACTAGGATCTTGTAGAAATGTTAGAATTTTTAAATTTAACACGTGATTTTGGTAACACGAATTCACTCGACAACAGTTTGATCGGTACTAAGTACACTAGGTGTTTCTGGAAGCGAACCTTGAGTGCACGAACAAACGCACTAATGTAAACGATATAGCGAATCTTCGTGCGGTAGCGTTCGTGCGCCATTTGTTCGTATGCGGGCTCTAATGTAAACGCACCTTTAAACGAATCATTTATTTATAGATACGGACTTGTAGGTATGCTGTTTACACGACAGTGGCGGCAAAAATAAGATTTTATATGAAAAAAATTATTTTTTTTCTCCCTCTTTTCCCGTGAAGATTTCGCGTCGCTCCTACGCTGGATCCATGTCACCCTGGCTGAGAACCACTGTATAATAGCACCGGCTTAATGAGTGTCGTTACCTACTAATTTTAAATTACGTAAAACGTTTTCTCGGAAAGAAGTCGAATAATTATTATTTTCGTACGGACATAATCTTAAAATAACAACGAGGAGAACAAACAAATTTATTATTTGTACTTCGAACCGCTGAGAACGCAATTTTTCTAAACGCATTTTTTTTTTTTTTTTTTTGTAATATTTTATTATTTAAATTGCATTTTTATTATGTAAAATGATATAGAAAAAATAGTAAAATCATATTTAAAAACATTGAGATATTACTCAAACAGCAATAAATGTACACCTCCGTAATCGTGATAGTCATAACAAAATATTTTCAAACACATTTTTCAAAGAAACATGAACCTTGCTTACAAACCTGTAAATAATATTGAATATTAATAAACTACCACGAAGCGGTTTTCAAAACGATCGAATGAACATCGTCCATTATAAATGAAATAGTTATACAGGGCTAAAATGTTGATGCAAATGCATATTTTTTTCTGATGTACCAACACATAGGCCCGTAAGTAGAAAATATGTTTCAAGTGATACTGATTAATTTAATGTAATTTTTATATTTAATATGCATTTTTCAAGTTTTTAGAGCATTTCTCAGAATTTATTTATAAGTTCTTAAATATTAACGTATTTGATCGCGCATTCCGACGTTTGTTCGCTCAAAACATACACGTTTAGTATGTAATCGTTAAAAATATGAGCACATCAATCAGTGTTCCTATTTTGTCAAAAATAGAACAAAATTAAGGTCGTCGAATGAAATTTTTCAATTTGCTAGAGTCCAACGACGATCATAACAGAAAGTCATGAAATAAATTTAATTTAAATAAAATTTAAATATTAAACAAATAGGTATCTATTTTATTATTATTAGGCTAAACAAATATAATTAAATATGTTTGGTCATGATTTTTATATAGTTTTAAAATCTTAAAAAATACATTATTTATTTTTAAAACATTTTTTTTTTTACATTTTTGGAGCATTAAAATCCCAGCATTAATGTTAAGTAAACAAAATAACTTGTTGATGCAGTAACCTCAGGGTCGCTGACGGTAGAATGACGGTCTGGTAGTCATTAACTAGTGATTCATAACACCGCTACAACGACAATAATATGCGGTCACCACGGGTATACTTTGTCTGGTCGGTGACAATGGTCGGGATTGTACTTGAGTATATTATTCACCAAAGGCCGAAACGTTGTAGAACTGGAAACATTATTTTAAACTATCGGGAATTGATTCTTAGGACACGTTACTGACTCGATTGTCCGTTTTGTCACGAGCACGCGAGTTCGTAAAATATGTTACCACACCCGCTGCGTCAACTAGGGGAGCTCTGCCAGAAATGTATTTAGAGTTTTGACGCCCCTGTTTTATTGCCACCCTTACACACGTTTTATACTATTTTTCAAGGAAGATAATATTTATTATCTATGGATTTTACGTGGTCAACTTTTGATGGTATTATCATGAAAATAAAAATCGCGGTGTGGTCTCTATTCAAGATTTAAAAATATTAAAATGTTTTGATCGACGAATGAATATGGATGATGGATTATGGTTACAAAAAAAAGCTGTTACCTTAAATTTCAAAAAAAAATCTGCCACCCGGAATGATGGTATCCCCTCGCACCCCCTAACTACGCCCCTGGGAGTTGCTCAAATGTATCGAATGGTTATAAACTTAAGAATATCGATTCTTATAGTTTTTGTGATATGACCCAGTCAAGTGTAATATTACAATAAAATTATATATTTACATGGACAAAACGTTAATTCATATGTAAAACGGTTCGATTATTATTATTATTAATATGTTCAATAATAATCTATGTAATCCAACCATAATATCGTCTATGACTGATTATTCGTTAATAAAAATTACCTACGTGTTCGAATGTAAATACTTATACGGGTGCGGTTGTATATCTATGCTCGAATATAGTCACGATACCTGCGTCAAATTTGTGGAGGAGGAAAAATTAAAATTTTTGAAATAAAATAAATTCAAATAATATAACTAAAAATCGAAAAAAAAACAATTACAATATGACACAATGTAAAAATGCACATAGTATTATTTATTTTATAACTTATCACATAAATGTTGATAAGAATATTTATGGATGTTGTATGAGGGGGAACACTTAATAGCTAGAGTGAAAACTCAACACGATGGGAAGTGCGGGAAGGTGGTAGGTAAGGACAATGGATTAACTTACCCACGGAAACGTCGTATGCACTTGTTCTATGAGTTGATCTTTGTTATAACATTCCTCGAGCTGAGGATTAGTGTAATAGCGCTTATACGTGTTCCCGTGCCGCTGATTTAAATGCTTGGCGGCGAGCGACGAGTACGAAGACATCTTGGAAATATCTTCTGCTTGGTGGTTACCGAAAACATAAAATAAAAATAATCATAATTGATAAACTTACGGTAGTAATGATAATAATAACAACAATAGCAATGACCTGAACTTATAAAAATGTAATATTATATAAGGAATAAAATCGTTAGGAACCCCTTGTTCCCTATCCTCGAAAAAATATCTGCAGCGACGGTTATTGAGCTGTAACCGTTCTTATCAGCTATGTAATGTACAAGTATTCAAAGTATTACACCCGCTGCTTTTCAGACGTTGTTTACGTATAACTACAGGAAACATTAACTTTACCTGCACAACGTCACAAATACCCCTTAATAAAGATGTACCAGGTAGAATGTATTATAAACTGGGTATCGAGTATTAGCCGCGTAAACATTTCAATATTATACCGAGTCTCGGGTAAGGATTGGGTAAAAATACAGTGTGACGCCACACATGTACTAGGTAAGGGTAGAGTCCTACTTTTGACATTGAGTACTCAGTAATCGAGCCTGTGTACCCGGAACATCTCTAATTTCTATGATTTAAAAACAAAAATAAAGGAAATTACAATGCAATCCTTATCATCGTCGATTGGATTCTTATTTTATAGCACTGATTGAATTAAACAAAAAAATTAAATTATTGATAAATTTCAAATTATAAACAGGTTAGGGTACCCGGTACATATTTACACCTTAATACACAATAATGCAAATAAGTTACGTACCCCTAGTGTACATACTTACCTAGCTACCTTTATACCATACCGAACAATAAACAATAAACAGGAGTATCGGCACCAAAGTTTAAAAACATTTCAAGCACATGACACACAGCTCAAGTAAAAGACGTATAAGACGGTTGGTGCAATAAAAGTAATCATTAAAAGATGGAATTTGTAGAACATTTTGATTATTCATGATAAAATAATAATTAATAATTACCAAGTATTGACTCCTCTAACGACACATTAACACGGATATTGGTGGTCAATTTATATACATGAATAAAAACGTGTAATTTTTTTTTTTTTGCAGTTTTTTCTCTCGCTTCTCATCCATTTTTCACAAAAAATATGCAAATGTAATAATAAAATATGATAATCGTTCACGTTTTCATAACGTGCGTAGAATGTAATAATAGCATACCTAAGTGTTTTATCCTCTGTGCAATTACAAACGATTTTCACGGCCACGTAGTATGTAAAGTAGCATTTAAGTACCTAATACATGTTTTTAATATTGTATGAATAACATTTTTAGTTAAAATACTGGAATAAAAAACACTTTTGCGTCCGGAAATCCACTCAAGTATTTAAATTGAATAACGGACTGGCTCCAATATAAACAACTCGATACTAACACAGAATAACAACGCAATACCGAACCATTCAATGGATTCACAATAAAGAAACCCCGATAACCCAGTTGCCCCACCTCCAACTAATGAATGCTCTTTCGTGTGTTTGGGCGGGCCGGCATGGTAATGCGAGATAACAACAACATTTAGTCGGTCTTAGTCACAAATATATAAAACTGTAGCCGACTTCCTATAAACAACATTACGGGAGAACATGAATCATGGCTGCCATGTGCAAAACTGGCAATGTTTACAAAATTTTGTATTGATAACGCTCATTGATAATGAGAATACGTAATAAATAAATTAATAAACAACAATGTTATATATCTGTGCATGTAATATAAATGATAAATATGATGGTAAACAACAGTTTATGTGTAACACAGGGTGTAAACGATGTAAATAATGATGTATAAATAATATAGTTAAACATTTTTTTTTTTTAATACTTAAGATGAGTAATTAGAAATGTAAGAAAAGTAGCAAATAGTGAAAATTTAAAATCAAATATCAAATACTAAGTTTTTATTTATTATTTTATTAAAACTAATACAGTACATGTATATAGCTCCTTCTTTTTCGTCTTTCTCCCAACTATGTGGGGTCGGCCATTCTTGTCCTAAACCTCCACTCATCTTGATTTTTTACATCTTCTATGCACACACCAACAGCCCTCATATCATTTTCAACCATCTCTTTTTTGGTCTTCCTCTTCCTCGTTTCCCATCAAAATTCATTTTCATAACTAATCTTGCTGCTTTTGTTGCCTCTCGCCTCATCACATGCCCAAACTATCTCAGTCTATTTTCTCTTATCTTGTTCACTATCAAAGCTGCACCAACACAACTTCTCACATATTCGTTCCTTTTTCTATTATTTCTTGTCACTTCGCTCATCCATCTAAGCATTCTCATTCCAACAACATTCATACTCTGTTCTATTCTTCTGTTCAGGGGCGGATAGGGCCACCGGGACACCGGGTGGGCCGCTGTTTATATTGTCGAAAATGGGCCGATGAAAAATATTACTATTAACGCTATTAAACATGTACATTATACCTACATACAAATAAAAGTATATAAATACTATAATACTGATATTTTTATTTAAATCTAGCATAAGTATAATTATTATTGTATGACTGAACAGTGGGGAAGTCCACTTTATTCTCACATCATCGCGCTAACCACCGCCAAATGGTGTTTATCTTGGAATTCGGGTTTCGGGTATTATTGTTGTGCGTATTGACCCGCTGCTGCAGCTGTCATCAACTAATATATATAATAATTATTATTATTGAACAAAGGACGTTACAGTAAGATATTTCCGACTAGGCAATAGACTACTAGACACTAGTTTCTATACGTCATTCAGTTTTTGGCTTTCTGTTGTCACTAGTAAATTGTACACTAGTAAAAATATATAACAATAACGTACCAATCTATTTGGATTCTGGAGTTTAGACAAGAAGGCGCATTTTCGTATTATAATTTACACTATAAACACTATTAACTGTTACACATCATAATCATAATTATTTATGTAAATTATGTGATATTTTGACTATACGCAAGACGCAACGCGTTAATTGACCAACGCCATGTTACGCATATTAACACGGATGCCGCGTATATAATAATATATGATAAGTGTTTGAAAATTGTATGAAATATTTTAGAATTTTAATAAAATTTGATTTATTTTTTAAGAGGTTCTAAAGCGATTAGATTTTTCATACATTTAGATTTTAGACTAATAAGCTGGCGAAAAATAAACTTACTTCTATTAGTCCAATTTTAATTTTGAAAAATAGTTTTAACTCGTCAGCTTATTTTCTATGTTTTGTAGGAAAAACTTTTTCATTGTTTGTCTTGTTGGCACTTTAAAGTGCATTTGAATTTTGAGAAATTAAGTAAAGTGATTGGGAACCGTATATACATACATTATCCAATATGTCCATAATTTGTTTCCTACCAAAAATAGAATAAAGGTATAGCTAAGGCCAATATATAGGTCAGAGTTCCATGTTTTTGTGTAATATTTCAAACATTAAACGCTATATATGATAATATATTCTAGATAACTATGCTTCAAAACAAATTAAAACGAAAAGGAGGAGCAGAAAAGAACAGAGATAAAAAACGAAAATTTTGGTAATTATTAACAACTAATTCGATATTTTTAACTTTGTTAAATACTGTTATTAGGTTAAAACTCAACAAGTATGATAATTGTTTATTGATTATTTGAAAATGATTCTCGAGAACAGAATTTGATTATTGGTCTATGCATGATAGGGCGTAATTTTAACATTCTCCCCGTGTGTAAAAATTCTTAGTTCAACCACGGACCGCAGGTACCAACCAAGAACTCACCCGCACTCGATTGCTGATCAGGCACCTGTCAACACGCGATCGTGGCCCGACAACCACTGTCGTTGTATCACACGCCGGGACGATATTCGGCCGTCGAACTATTCGTACGTAAAAATAATACATAAAATTGACTGACGTAAACGACAACGACCGCGCGATCAGTAAGGATCGCGGGCGCCGACACGTATGTGCCGCGAGTGTTGCGACGACGGGCATCGGCCGGTCATCGGGTGCGCACGCGCGAATGACATCGTAACCAGTAGTGGTACGTTTTTTTACTGTTTTTTTTTTTTTTTTTTTTTATATTGTTATCAATTACAATCAATGCTTTTCGAGTCATAGAACGTAACACTCTGCAGTGCAATCGTCGTGTTATTTATCTGTATATTATTACCATGGCCGCATTTAAGGGGGGGAAGGGGGCAATGGCTACAACCGCCCCGAGTGCCAGTTTTTTGGGGGCTCCAAAATGTTGTGGTCGAAAATTTGCTCAATTGTGAATTATTGGACTTTTAAAATTGTTTTAAAATTATTATTTTTTTTTTTAACAGTATCATAAATTAATGCTAATGTATTTAATTTATTAATATATTTATAGCAATATAGCTATATAAGCGCATACCCATATAACAATATTTTACATTAGGTATACGCCGAAAATCGAAAATCTGTTTATGGGTATACGCTGTATACCCGAGTATACGTACCAATACACCTCTGGTTATCAACTATTTCGGTAACCGTGAAACTCATTTGCGGTGCGCAGGCGACCAATGGTAACGGTCATACCGATCTACCGCGTATGCACTCGGTTTGCGGCGTTTGAGATGAAAACTAAAAACTACGTTTTACGAAAATCTTTAGACCACAACGTGTTTCACTGTCAAAAAAAAATTATTATCCTAACCTGATCAGCTATGTGACACGCTAACATGTTACAATAAGAGTGCGCAGCCTTCAATCGTAGCATACAAAATAAATCGGTCCATTTTTTGAACTGCCGAAATTATCAACTCTGTTGTACAAATGTTGTGTGATTGTTATTACAATGGCTAGAATCAGAGGCGTACTACTTTTAGAGGGAGTTCAACATTTTATTTAATCTTTCTCTAATTATAATTATAGTTTAATTCAATACCAACAAATTACTGTTCATAACTATAGTAATAGTCACAATAGTTATACACACATCACACATACGAGTATTCTGCACAAAGGTTTAGGTACTATAATATGTAGGTACTATAATTTGAAATCAATTTTTATTTGGTATTAAAATGTTATAAAAAAATACATTATTTAACTAACAATAATAAATAATACTAAAAAAGCAGTATAAATTAAACATGGTTTATATATTATAGGTATATTATATAATCTATAAACTTTGTGTATTGAAGATATTGGGAAATTAAAATACACTATATACTATTTACTATTACACTATTGAGTATGTAGAAATTTTAATGGGAAGGGTCCGGACCCGAAAACCCCCACCTTGGGTACGTTCTAGCTAGAATAATATAATTATTTATGTATTTACAATTGACAAGTGCAAACATACTTACATTCACTACTTTTGAAAACACCATGTCACTGTTTCAAAAATAATAATAATAATAATATGAAATGATTAATAGTAAATGTTAATCTTTATAATATATTATTATTTAATGCATGAAATATACTTATATATATATATAATTTTTAATATTGTATTATTGTAATTTAATATAGACGTACAACAAATAATAATATAACCATTTTAAGTTATATAAATATATAGCTAAGTACTTCTCCATGCAGCCGACGACCATAACCAAAACATAGTACAAAGTATTATTTTACTTTTATATTTTGTTTGTTGAATAACGTATTAATCGATTAGCTTTGTCTACAGAGTATAGTGCAAACAAAATTATTCATAGTGTGTATTAAATCGTTTTTAGCGAATTTTATAAGTTTTTAAGGTTATTCAAGATTGATCTTCATCGATCTTTGTAATTTTGATTAGATTTGTAAAAATGACTAACTTATTTGTTGTTAACTAGCCATAACTGTACAAATTATCTAATAACAATATTGGTTTAGATAAATGTTATCTACTCACAATGAATTGACCCGGCTGATCGTCTACTATGACTAATATATACCTCCGCTGTCCACACGCTAATCAATCGGTCCATAAAATGTGGCAGATGAGCATATGAACCTTGTGTTGTAGCCGTGTGTACGTCTACGATAACAATATACCTTATACTGTACTTGCGTTCGATTTGTTTATTGACATTTGTATTAACATTCATTGTCACAGCACGTAGTGGATTTTATAATTGATTGTTTCGCTTATTAGATTTCCGTCACTATTATTGATGATGTGCCACTGATGTACATGCGCTTAATGGTTATTGCAATGTTAATCATATTCGAACAACGTGTTTTATAATAATTATTCAATCGTTCATCGAATGATATTATTTGTAATATAATATACGAATACATTAGTATGCCTTAACGGTGTTAAAATATTTTCTGAACGGAGGTTGATCAATGATAAAGGCAAAGGAAGTGGTTTACGGAGTTGAACTTCATCCTAATAACATGTAAACCAGCTGCGTTGCATTCAATCAAGTTATTCTGAAATTACTCGCGTAACTTTTAACCAAAAATATAAATATTACCATCAGTTAATATTTGAATGATAGTGTAGATGCTATACGAACAGGCGTGCGCACGGCGAGTGGCGGGTGAGCTCGGGCACCCTTCGAAATGCTTTAAATAGGGCCTTACAATTTAAGTTTCACAGTAAGGCGTCTATATTTTAACTGATATTGCTGAAATTAAATGTATTTATCTAAAATATTTGTTGAAAATAAATGATATTTCGTAAAAGAAAAATCAAAACAAAATCGATGTTTTAATTTTTAATTTCCATACAAAATCTTATTGTAATAATACAACTACAATTGACTGCAAAAGTACAAATCATAAATGATCGAACAAAATGTATGAGACTCGAGGAAAAAAAAATTAAAGTTACGTTTATTTGATTGTGTATACATTATTATTTATTAAATATACCTTACACGTTTTGTTAAGATAGGGTCCTTAAGTAATGCAGGCACCCCTTGAAATACAGGTCTGCGCACGCCTGTGTATATGATAAAGAACCACGGTAAATATTTAAAAAAATACGTTCATCAAACACCATATTTCCAGCACGCATAAAGTATAAATTATGTGTTTTAGTTTGATGAACATTTTTTGTCGATTATCGTACAATTTTTTGCTGACAGTCTTTTTGCACCACACTGTACACTGCGTATAGATAATACATGTGTAAAGCCGCGTCCAGACCAAGAAACATTCGTCACCGACTTTGTCTCCAATGTTGGTAACAAAATGTTTCTTTAAATGTCATCGATAAAATTTAAAAATAAGTGCGTCCACGCCAAAGCAACATCTTTGATAAACATTTTAATCAGGCGCTGTGTCGACGACAACATACGTATTTTCTACTGTTCTGCATATACGTGTGCCGCTCGTTACTGCTTTTCACGACCTTTGTCCTTAACCATGATATTTATCGATAATAGAAATTATAATTGAACACTATTCGCGTGCTCCCTGTGTAATCACAGTATAATTTCGTATAATTGGAATGCTGATAAATTAATCTATACTAATTAGTTTGTCAATAAGTGTATACTTTATAATCTATGGAATAAAATAGTTTCTGTTTTGATTACATTATTTAATAGTGATTGCGATTGTTGTGTATAGCAGTAGTTTTCAACTTAGGGGTCGCGAATCATAGGTTCGGGGGTCGCCAAAAATAATGGATGAAATAATTTTTCCATATTAGGTATTTAAAAAAAAAAAACAAAATAAATAATTTGTTTTGTAAAATTTTTAAGCATAAATTAATCGTTCGCGCGTTTTACATAATAATAATAAATAATACATTTGATTGTTGTTCTGCCAGTTGTCGATTACTATGTACGCTAATCATGCCACTTCAAACAGCTGTTGCAGCTTATATTTACGTTTATCTCGCACTTGAGATACTATATTAAGTAGTTTATATGAACCAGTAACTATATAAAAAAAAAAGTATAGAAATAAGAATAACTGATAAAATTTGAGTTTTGTGTGTTTTTGAAAATTTTTATAAACACATTTGTCGTAACACGTTCGCGCAGGTAACATCCATTGATGTTATGTTGAAATACCGATAACTTGCGTATTTCAAATATGTTATTATTACGTATGTTAAATGAACGAAAAAAGAGTTGTAAGCTTTCGTCTAATAATCGAACGCGCTTTGATTAGAATATAATATCTACATTTTACAATCAACGTCACCAAATCAAATAAGTATGCGGGCCAGTCGCTGATCTCTAACTCAAGTGATATTTTTTTTGTAAACATTGGTTAAACCAACCTGATTACCATATTATCAGGTATTTATAAGAATGTAGTAATGTAATTATTTTAATACATCAAGGCGAGTTACTTATGCTTCAGTCGTCCTTAAGAGTTGTTTTAATTTGAATTACACTTCAAAAATGTATATTGATGTCTTATTAATTTAAAATCATTACTTAATCGTACACATCAGTCACTCATCCCTTCACTCGCCCCGACCATTTTGTATCTATTTGATGAGTACGACCAGCGTTCACATTTACATGAAATTTAGAATTATTTTCATACACTTTTAAAACTGAAACTATTTATCTAAGAGTTTACCTAATTTTATCTAAAAAAAAACAGGGTTTCTCAATTCATTTTTCGTGATTCCTGTTGTTTTCTGTAATTGTAAGTTGTCGCACGAGATGTTGCCAATAATTATATTCTAAGGGGTTATTTTTAAGAAGCGACCCAGTCGTTGGATAAACGGGCGAGACTCTTTTCGATAAAAATTGTACATTTACTTTTTCGGCTAAACTTAAAAAAAGTAAATTATTTTTTTAACCAAAATCGTACCTTTCACTTTTCAGCCAAACTAAAATATTGAAAAACTATATATAAGAGAACATGTATTTATACGTAATAGAAAAATATTAAATATAATAAGTTATAAATTCGTTAAAATGTAAATATTTTGATTGGCCATTGTCTGATTTTTGCCAACGACGGTTCACTATATATTTTCGAAGTAATTAATTGAAACTGATTTAATACAATTATTCCCTAAAAATGTAATTTAAATATTTTAGTAACATAATAATTATTACTACTACTAATTATTACTATATTTTATAATAAAGCATATTTTGCTAAAAAACTAACTAGAAAAGGGAAGAGTTAGTGATGGGCATATCCGGATTTGACAAATCCGAATTATTCGGATTTCATGGATTATCCGGATTATTCAATTCAATTTTTCTGTTCAATTATAAATACTATTCTTACAATATATCTCTAAATCAGTGGTTCCCAAACTTTTTCCCATCGCGGCACATTATTATTAGTTTTTATAAGTCACGGCATACTTTGAATAAATATTATCTACTTATCGAATAATAGGTATATAATGATCGTTATTAGGTAATAATATTATTAACTCTCGATACCGTTTTCTCGATTACGTTCAAACCACACCACGACAAGCCTAAATTTTATTGAATTTTTGCGATGTTTGTTTTATAATAACTATGGATAAGTTTTTAAATATAAAAAGAAAGCTTAACGATTACGATGAAAATAATGGCGAAAAAAAAGAAAACGACAGTTACTGAAACCATAAAATCTGGTACCGTAAGTACCATGATAATTATTTAAATTTTGGTTTCACTTTCTGTGGATCAGAAACTATTCCTATTCCTCAGTGTTTGGTATGTGGAGAAAAACTTAGGAACGAATGTATGGTACCTAAAAAATTAAAAAGGCATTTTACTACTAAACACGGACATTTATTAAATAAAGACAAAACTTATTTTAGCCGCTTATTATCATCAAATGTAAAACAATCAAAACAATTGGAAAAACTTACAAATATATCAGATAAAGCTCAGATTGCTAGTTATAAAGTTGCTGAATTAATAGTTAAAAACATGCAGCTGCACACTATAGCTGAAAATTTAATATTACCAGCTTGCAAAGAAATTATAAAATCAATGTTAGGTGAGAGTGCTGAGAAGGAAGTTTCTCGTGTTTCATTATCAAATAACACAATATCTCGACGAATTGACGATATGTCTTCCGACATTCAAAAACACGTTTCTGAAATTTTATGTGATGGCTGAAAATTTTCATTACAAATTGACGAATCGACCGATATTAGTAAAAAATGTCAATTATTAAGTTATATACGATTTATTGAAAACAATGAGGCTATTGAACAATTTTTATCTTGTACTGAATTATTAACAACATCGACCGGGCAAGATATATATAATTGTGTCAGTGATACTCTAAAAAAAAATTAACTGTTATGGATAAATTGTATTTCCGTATGCACATATGGAGCTCCTGCAATGACTGGTAAATTTAAAGGCTTTGTTTCGAGATTAAAACAAGATTTTCCAAATATTATTTCAACCCATTGTTTTATACATCGTGAAGCTTTGATGATTAAATCGATTCCAGATAAGCTTAAAAATGTTCTTGATTTGGTAATTAAAATGGTAAATTACATTAAATCAAGAGCTCTTAAAACACGAATTCTCAAAAAAATGTGTGAAGAAGCTGGTTCTCGTTATGAAGTTTTAGTTTTACATACTGAAATTCGATGGTTATCAAAAGGTAAGGTTTTAAACAGATTTTATGAAATGAAAAATGAATTGTTGCAATTGTTCAATAATGAATACTCAAACAGCGATTTCGTAACTCAATTAAATAATCCATTATAGTCTGCAAAACTTGCTTATCTAGCTGATATTTAGATAAACAGTCACTAAAATATCATTATCTCAATACATTTGTATCATCGACTGTGTTCCTAATTTTCTTACGTTCAACCGTTTGATTGTACGTTAATTGTACACGTACACATTTTCGGCTCGTTTGCGTTTGAAGACCTGCGCTTGATGAAAACGAAAACAATTTTACAGTTTCCCGTGATTCGTACGATCCTTTATCGGATTTTTATTCTTTAACTATGGGTTCAGGGCCGGCGTTAGAGGAAGGCAAAACGGGGCATTTGTCCAGAGTCTCGCACCTTCAAGGACCTCGCGCTTAAAATGTTTATTGAAAAATATTTTCTACGGAAATCTCATAAAATAAAACGTGAAATGTGTAGATCGCCTGGCGATTACGATTCCTCGAGAAATCCATTGGCGTGTAACGAAACAAATTAATAAAACAACAATATTATATTGAATATGTCATGCACCAACGACGATCCGTACGGCACTCCACGCGGTATGGAAACCGGGATACATAGGAAATTAATTTTTTCACGTTCCTTAAATCGAATCAGTCATTACTCAATGTCGCGTGCAGCGTGTCTGATTACATGTTATCGCCTTTAATTGCGGCCTCCTACAGGCTATAAGTGACTATTTTTGTGGGAAAAATAAGTTTTGCCCAGGGCCTCGTAAAAGGTAACGCCCGCCCTGTATGGTTTCGAAGACACGCGCGGTCCGCTGGAATATTTTATCCCTAGGACGATGGGGGTAATTGTTTTTTCGTCTTTCGCACCGCGGTGAGTTGATGTGAAAACCGTACTACACATCTTGAAACATCGTAATAACAGCATTTGTTTTGGGATTTTCTCGTACGACCCAACAGCGGTGCCGTCGCGGACGACGCGTCCCCGACCTTTCGAACACCGTTGACGGGTATGAATCACGCGACGCGCACAAACGCACGGATCACGGACTTCTGGAAATATTTACATTAGTATCGGTATTTAAATTACTTAATTTTTTTGCAATTTATAATTTTTCAACAGTTTTTTCAAATATATTTGCCAAAACATTCATCACAAAAAATACCAATTATTATTATTATGTTCCCCATAAATTAAATTTAAAATAATATCTAAATTAAGCAACTTTGAAGCATTGATTAAATATACTTAACTTAAATATAATATTTAATCAATGGTTAAAGTAATCAAATAGCAAATAAAATAAAAAAAAAAAAGTGCTAAGCATTAGAATCATAGATTTTAAAAATAGTATTTAGTAATTTATTTTATAAATATGTATTTTAAAGTATGTGCTTATGTCATTTATGTATACATTCATATTTACAGTTTGTACATAATATATTTTTTTTTCTTCGAATTATAGTGTAAAATTAGTCGTAATTTTTGAATTTTCATATATATATATATTTATTTCGCGTCGAAAAATCAAATTAATTTTTGTACTGATGCTAGTCAGTACGAAGATCGACTTTCTCATTCTAAAAGAAGATGGTTTTCTTCCAGCCATTGAACGAATAATAATAATATTTCATGGATCTTAATTTATATTTCAATTAACTTGCCCTTATATTCATATTTTTAGAATCTTGGTAATTGTCGAAAAAATAGGATCACTGAATTATTATTATGATTTATATCATGATTAAAGACATAAAACACTACTAATGTTGATTAGGTAAATGTTTTGCATTTATATTTTAATATTCGGTTTAATCGAGATTAATATTTCACCAACAATAATATTAAAATATAATTGAAAATTATATTTTCTTGACAGTATAAATCTAAGAATATGAAAATATTAAAAATAATAATATAAAATAGTAACATATGATGTGGATTGTTCATGAATATCACGTTTTAAAATTTAATAAATGACATGCACGGGCAGAGACAACACGACTTAAATAATGAGGACCCAATACAGATATACAAATGTTAACATTTAAATTATTCCGTCTTTGGTTAAAACGCATCATTTTCTGTTTGAAACAATATCAATTGTTAGTTTTATTAACAGAATAACACAAAGTTCTACAAAACTTGAAATATAAATTATGATAAAAAAAAATTATATTACTTATATACATTTTTATTACAATACGACAGTGATGATTAAAAAAGTTAATATTTTCTGTACCGTTTAAAACAAAAAACATTGTCATTTACTTTTATTATAAAATCAAAAACTGTTGGCTAAAAAGTGTTATTATATTATATTACTCGTATTTACAATTTATACATAACATGCTATGGATTTCAATTATATTTGTTTATTGTTGAATCTCAACATTGCATTTTGTCATTCGTCGTTCAGCAGTATCCAGGTATTGTAACCGACAACTTAAATAGAAAACAGAATTAGTAGCTACTGTTATAAGTAAGTATATTTATAAAAATATTTTGAATTAAAATTATATTCGATCTACAGAAGTTATGAACACACGGAGGTAGTCTTTTTCTAACTTTTTTCTCACTTCAACTACCAGCCCACGGCGAGCAACGTCAAACAAATCATCCTATCATAGGAGAGGGATGTGGGGCACACATGTCGAGTCTTTTACCAGCGAGAACAACACGAAGTATAAGTTGTCTTCATCGGAATCGTATTGGCAAACCCAAAATCATTTATCGTTAAATGTACATATCATCATGATTTTCAAGAATTACGACGAAATTTTACAATATAATTTTCATAACAAACTTTTCCTTTTATCATTTTATATCGTATACCCGGAAGGTACATAAAATATTTCGGATTTATGAATACGATAACAAGAAATATTGATATATAAGTTACAAACTATCAACAGCTAATGACATCTTATATAAATATTAAATATTTTATAGTTTTTTCGTGCCATTGTCCAAAACATGTCTGAATTCAACTATAATAACATAAACGTTTATGTTTAGCGCAAATTTTTTGTTTAAACCTTTGTTCTAATAAATGAAAAGCAGGATAAATTAAAACAATTAATGGATCTTAGTAAAGTAACAGAATACTAATAAAATGCTAGTTGACTTACATTAGGAGTTATGAAAAAAGACTTAACATTGATCTTAAAACCTATTTAAACTTCTTAATCTGGCACAAATCATGTAAAAACTTCATTACTAAATGTAATTGTGACTTACCAAAATAACTTTTTCAGATTCTCATAATCTATTTAGACTATTTGATAATAGAATACAATAAATAAGATGAGTGCTTCCAATATGATGAGTGAAATCAAAACAGGCAAGCAAATCAAGAGGTAACACATTCAAATTCATACCAAACATGTTTTATATTTTAACATTGAAAAATAATTTATTATTATTTTGAATGAATCTTAATAATCATAAATTCATTTTTAAATTATTCTTTTTAAGAAATTCTAAATTATTGTGATTAACTTATCAAATCAATGTAGGACTGAGGAATATCCCACAATTGTGAAAAGTTATGCGCGTGAAAGTCCAAGTGGAAAAAGAGAAAAAAAAAGGATTTGCAAAGCTTTACCTAAAGATGGGTATGATCAAATAGTTAAATATTTTATAGATTTAAATTTTTAAATATTTAACTAAATGGTTACTAATTATTACCTTTATATCTGATTATAATAGTAATGTATGCCTTAATGTTTAGAAATAACGGAACTCAACAGAAGAAGTTGAGCAAAAATACGGCAAAAAAACGTAAACGCGCTCAGCAAATGGAATCAATCACAAGCGTCAATGAGTAGAGTTAATTCAATTTTTTTAAAATTCGTTTATCTAAATTCATTGTTATTCTACAGAACGGTAACTCAGTATGAAAGTCTACCGAAAAATACTAATTCAAAAGTGGTACCAAATGAAATTATCAATTCTACTGATGGACCTCATAATAGGTATTTATTATAAAATAATAATTTAGTGTACAAAAAATATTTTTTTCGCTAACACAAAGCTTCTTATGATTACTATTTTGTTTTACTAAACCAAATTGTATAAATCTATATCCATTATATTTTAAACTAAACTTAAATCTAGTGGTCAAACAACATCGAATAATTACAAGTCTTCAGATCATAATGGAACCAAAAATTTTGAAATAAAAACTAATGTGATTATAAGTAAAGATAAAAACGAAAAGGTTTTGGAAGATTTAAACGTGCCAAAAATCCAAACCAAAGGAAATGGAAATTGGTATATTATTATTTATAACAAATGCATTTATGATTTATTCTATTAGTGCCACCGAATTTTTATTTATTAACAAATAATTGTTTATGTTTTCCAGTGTAATTAAAGAAGTTGACGAAAATCTGTTCAATTTACCTAGAGACATTGCTCTAGCCCATTGTATTGCAGAAGATTTACGTATGGAAAGAGGAGTCGCGGTTCAATTCAAGTAAAACTATTTTAAATGTATATTGATTAAAACAATAATTATTTTTCTCGCTATCTAGACGTTATTTTGGAGGCATTGGACAACTTATGGACCAAAAACTTACCGTAGGCGATGTTGGAGTGGTGGTTAAAAACGAAACAGAATATGCTTTTTATCTGGTGACAAAAAATTATTGTAACGGCACGTCGACAATGTTATCATTGTCACATGCATTAAAGTCGCTCGTAGAAAAAATGCAAGAAAAGAAAATAATCAAACTAGGCATTCCTCAAATTGGCTGTGGAACAGATGGATTGGAGTGGTCAAAAGTTAAACCACTCATTGAAGATATTTTTGCCGAATCCGGAATCGAAATAACTGTTTGTTTACCAACAAAAGTATGTGTTGAAAATAACAGAATATTTTATTGTTTTCATAATCATAAACCTATTTTAAGATATTCTATCGTCCATTACCACCTCAAATGAAAGTGTATATAACACCTAAGAAACTATTGGAATTTCATAACAAGCTAAGTGACTTATTATTACTGATTGATATTGAACAAATAAAATCAAATCATTTGAATAATGATTTGGTAGATGCTGTAAACTTAGAATATCCTTTTTTCAAAGAAAAGTAATTATTTAACAACTGTATTACATAATTTTAATTGTTGTTAGCTAAATATATTATAAATAATTAAAACAAAAATAAAACGTGAACATCAGTGCTGAGCACTCTTAACAATGATCTAAATGTAATTCTGTAATTCGTACGTTTTAAATCCTCATTTTATTTTGTCCGACCATAGATTAATGAAGGACATTAAAACTAAAGCATTGAAGCCTGGTGACGTTACCTCTTATTTTATAAAGAAAGAAAATATACACTGTTTATTCACTAGTCAGTCAGCATATTACAGTTCACTAGAAAAAGGATTTTTAACAATAAAAAACTACGTAAGGAGAAGTTATAGGAACTTTGCCATTCAGAGTGGTCCCATAAAACCAACTGCATACTTTAAGCACATATCAAGAATTGTGTTATTGTTACGTTCGATAATTTATGGATCAGAATTATGGTTATGCGGTGATAATGATCAGACTAATGAAAAAGAAGTGTACGAGCACTATTGTAAACAAGTTTTTGAGGAAATTAGACTTTCAAAAAAGTCGAAAGATAGAAATAATCATCAGATAGGCAAAAGAAACAATTCACCGAAAATTAATTTGCAAAGAACATAATTTTCGAAAATCCATAAGAAAAAACTTACACGATTAATCAAAATACTAACACAGTTGTGCATTTAAACGAATAATAAATTATTTAAATTATAGTTTATCATAATAGTTAAAAGTTTTCGGAGTATTTGTAGTACACATTATTTTTATAAACATAGAAATACAAGTATACAATATTGTTTTTGCATTATATTCCGATTTCATAAAAAAAGTTATCCACTCAATAGAAAAATTTAAAAATTGCGTTAAGTGTAAAATATAGGTTTCCATTTTGTGAAATGGAAAAAATAAATGTCCATTAGATGAACCTAAAAACGACTTACGCGATATGATCTAAGTTCATGAAATAAATATCTATTTCGTGAAAACTACGATTACACTAAGTGGACTTTAGATGAAAAAAAAATTTTTTTGAAAAAATTCCAAGTAGATTCTTGATCATGTGGCAATACTACTCGTATTTATGATGATACGAATTTCTAAATTGGTAGTTCATTTAACTTAGACACAAAATATCGGAGTAATATTTTCCATGTTTTACGAAGTTTTGGTTTTATTAGATTGACGTTTCGTACGTTTGATGTTAGAAGAAACAAAAATTAATATATTACAAATCACAAATAAAACAATTGTCATGTCAAAGAAAAAATCAAATATGCAATATGATTTTTAGCATTAAATACTTATTTCATAAAATTTGAGATTAAGATAAGCAGAGTTTTTCATCAAATATTGGCTAGCTATTTGTTTTAATATTTAAATATTGTTATCATCTTCACTCGGATTTTCTAATCTTTGAACAGCAGTTTTAAGAAATTAGATGACGGTATTTGATCGTGTAAGGAGTTGCAGTTTTAAAGACTAATGTTTTCTTTCGTAATCTGAAAATTACGTATTTACTAAAAAAATTACGTAAAAATAGCTATGAGTATACTTTCATTTAACTGTTTAAAAACACTTCTAAATTATTCAAAAAAATGAATATTTTGTTTTAAACAAAAAAAAAAAAACCATCATTCTTCCCCCGTGTTACGTGTCACTACCAAGTATGGAGTCCGGAAACATATTTCAACAGCTTGATTAGTTTCGATTGCCAATTATTTCCAAGTAAAATGTACGTTGAGAGTAAAACATTTCTGCGACACGGAAAATATTTATTAAAACGTGTAGTTGACCAAAACTTTACACTAATAGCTGTCGTGGTAGAATTTGCGACATAATAATATATTTCCAGTCGTAATCGTAACGATTTAAATCACTTGAAACCTATAAGGGCACGTATCGGGCGTATAGGTTTGTCAACTCCATGACGAGTGCCACTTTGTCATATACATGCTTCGAGTTAAATAATCATAAATACACCGAATACGTATATACTTGCATGAAAATTATTAAAACATATTAAAACATAAGAAAAATTGTAATGTATTTCATATACTCACTATTATTAGTACGTCCTAGATCGAGAACCCCAAAAATCCATTTTTCACCGCCGACCGTCGAAAGTTTAGACGTTTTAGAGTCTAAATGATACTTTTTAATACTCAAAGATAATTTTTATTTGGTAATTGTAAGAAAAATTGTCCGTGTAAATAATTACATTGATAACAATTATTATTGTACCATTTTTAAAAAATTTAGTAGTATAAATTCAACTTATCTTCAGAAAATTGTATTCAATAACCATTCAAAGGTTATGTAGTTAAGATAAGGTAATTGGGTGTTCAGTCATGATATCACTTTAAGTCATAGAGGTATAAAGTAAACCCAGAAATTTAATAAATTTTAATTTTGGTAACTAATAATACATTATAAAAACTGTTGAAATTATGATAAGTAAATTGAAATTCATAAAATATAATATTAATTTGTTGTTACAATAAAATAAAATAATTAATTTTACTGGAAATTAAAAATAATTATAAGTTATATAAAAAGCAAATTCATACATCTGAATAATCCGGATACTTCGGCAAATCCGGATAAGAATTTGATTCAAATCCGGATTTGTATATCAGGATATCCGGATAATTCAGATATTCGGATTTCATGCCCATCCCTAACCTAGGAAGAGTACGATTTTGGTTGGAAATGGTTTTGTCCGCGTAAACAATAATACGTTTTAGTTGTGATGAACGTTTAGTTGCCTATCGTACAATTTTTTGATGAGTCGTTCTATCTGCACTATACTAAATAATATCCAGTGCAATACGCGTATAATAGTAGAATCATGTAAACAACAATCTGCGTAATTTAATTCGAGTTATACTTTAACGTGTGCATTTAGCACTTTCTTATTTTTCGTGACCTTTGTCCTTTGTTATGCTATTTGACAATAATTAAGCTTATTTTAAGAAGTAATAATTACATACCGCTTCAATCACAATACATTCAATACATAGATAATTTAATATGTTCATGAAAATATTCTATACTAAACAGTTTGTTGACATATTTTATAATCTATCGATTATCGTATTTTTATTCTCGATTATAATATTTTATAATAATAATAATCCGACTATATATCCATTTATTCAAAATTCCTATAACCATACCTTTATTCAACATAAAGGATCATCATTGCAAATCATTATATTATAGGTGTACACTGTTGTTATATTATAGTTTACACTTTTCCGTATTTTCCATATCCGTATCTATCAGTAAAATCCTCAAAAACATTGTCTCCTACAAATTTTAAAATAAGCAAATGGACGGTGCGGATACGGAACGGTTATAGATAAATAAACCTTTATTAATTAATTGGCTGATTAATTTACCGATTTAATGGGTTTCAACAAAATCGAATTATTGTTTTCGTCGTTACTCAATTAATAATAATTGTAAAGATTTGATATTTTCACTGAAAGTTTATATCACTGTTTTTAATAAGTAGTATAATTATCAAAATATTTGGATTTGGGTAAATTGACCGAAAGCAGAATGAAAAAATGTTTATCACTATGTAAATGTTGGGATATTTTTAGCTTTTTATCGAAAATGTCAATGAAATAATTTTGATTTGACACAAAGGCCTGAAAATGTAACTCAAAGTTTCTTTTATATATCTATAATTGATTAGTGAAATAATATTGAGCTTAATTTCAAAAAAGAAATTTACGAGTGTTTAAATATTAGATTTTGACAAAACGATAAAAATCATGAAAGAATAACTTAGAGTCGTGTTTTCAAGATCAAGATTCAAGATTTATTTAAATGATATAACGTGGATTTCCAATGAACCAAGAGTTGATACCTAATTAATATTTCAATTATTTAATCTAATGATTAATAAAATAATTTTATCTAAGAAATATGTATTTGGCGAAGCGATGCGGGTTTTATTGAAGCAGCTGCTTTATGACTAAAATAGGGGGGGGGGAGTAGGTAGTATTGTGTGACAGAAAATTGAAATACATAATCTGTACATTTGGCATAAAATATTACTATACAATTTTTTTTTGGACCCGTTAATTTTAATATGTATGTATCTACAAGTACATTGAACTATAAATTGTAACTTGTGGTGGGTATTTAACACATGTAACTGCTTCATTGGAAAATAGACTTCGCGCCGGCACTGCAAATCAGCACGCGACTACAAACAAATACGTATCCGAAATTACAATATAATTATGCTAAATTTTAAGTTCTGAGAATAAAAATAAAACGTTTTACCATTTGTAAATAACGCTTGTTTTTATTACAAAGAACGGAATTCGCCTTTTTATAAAGCTGATAATTAAAACCTTATCTTATTAAGCTACATGAAGATATACGAGTGCCCTTCTGAAATCTGTTTTATATTTAATTTTTTCATGCAGTATATAATTTATGATTGAAGTCTTTTTCAAGAAGAACAACTGTTCTAGGGTTCCATGGTGTATATTATAATTTGTATTAAAATTAACTGAAAAGTTTTTATGATATTATATTATCATTTATTTTATTAAAGATAATATAATAAAATATAAGATAAATAGTAAGTTACCAATCTATACATTTCAAATCTTAATCCTTTTATAAACCGACAATTTTAGTACTAATAGTATTTTGATATGATTATTGTGTAAATGTACCAAGAATTTTTTTTTTTTTTTTTTACCCCAGGATGTTTTTCGATCCTTAAGTTATATTTAAATATTCATAGGTACCATGCGTATTAGTATTAACTCATTATTATGTTGAATTATGTTACGTTTTAATCTTAAATCATCATTTAAGTGATTTGTTTAGTATAACTGCATAAATAAAAGACAACATCATTGAATATACCGTATACCAAGTATACCGGATGTTTTATGCCAAGTTATATGACCAAGAATAACCCGACGCATAATACATACAAATAATAATAACTGTTTGTTTTGAATTTAAGGAGTTTTTGTTAAACCACATTACCTCCCCCTCCTCGAAATTATAACGAAATAATTCAAATTATCTGGTTCTAATAATAGAAATGATTAATAAAAGAAAACATTTTTTTTAATAACAATAAATTTTATAATTTAATATTATATTCAGGTAGGAGTATATGAATGATGCGTTCAAATAAAGTAGGAATAAATAGTTGGTTAATATGAAAAAAGAGGGATGAGTGTTTCGTAAGATAATATAATTAGAAAGAGTAAAATATTTTGAAGCTAGAGAAAAAATCGATAGTCATAATAATAGTTTATTTACGCCCATAGAGCAATTGAGTTTATAGCACAATTTACAAAAATTGTAAACAAATGTAATAATAGTAATAATAATAAATAATAATATTAATAATAATACTTAATAAATGCAAATAATTATAATGATTAATTACTTATTTTGTATTCTAAAAAACATATTTAGTTTTACTAAATAACAATTCCTTATTAACTTGAAATTATGCTTAATACATTTGGTGAATTTGCTATTTGAAATTATATATAAAAGCCGGAATTACCTATCGACAATTTTTTACAATAATAATCGTAAAGATACCAACAAAAATAATAATAATTATTATTATGCTAAATTAGATACATAGCAATTAAGTTATTAGCGTATAACGTATAATACTTACTCTGATTTTGGTTTTGTTAATTCCGGTATACTTTTTTTTCATAAATTTAACACATTTATATGTAGCGTATGAAATCAATAAAGCAATTAAAAATAGCACACCGAATACGTCCAGTAAGAGATATTGATACCAAGTCAAATTTAATGTGTGAGATTTCAAGTCAGGAGCTCCTTTATGACGAATAACATACCTCGTCCAATAATCGACTGTTTGTGCCGGTGACATTGGACGGGTTTTAAATTGTTCAGCAGCGATCTCAGCATTTCTCTTATACCTGAAACATAAAATATTAAACATTTTGACTGAAAACTGTAATGTATCCTTTCAGGTAAAGAGAGGATCTTTTTTAGTTGATAGATTATAAAAATCAAGCTCTCATTCAATGTAACCGAAAACTTACTTTTCGTTATTAATAAGCTCTGTAATAGATTTTAAAAACATATCCTTGGTAATTGATTTTAGTTTTAGTGAAATAGCTATCCTTGCGTTTACTAATTTTTCTAAATTTCTTGATTGATCGAAAAATACAGGAAATCCAAGTACAGGAGTACCAGCGTCAACGGCCTCATATACATCAAAAATCCCACCGTGACTAATAAATAGTTTTACATTTGGATGCACTATAAAACAAACGAAACATAATATTAGTGGATTTTTTAAACTTAAATACTTCACTTTATATTAAATACTTAGTATATCTCGTTGAGGAAACCATTTAATTGTCATTATATTTATTGGTAAATCTGTTATCCATTCCTCTTCATATTTCATCAACACTCTCTGAGGAACTTGCCCTAGTACATCTATTATTGCGTTTTTAATATTTTTTGACAACGACGATACTGATACAATCGAACCAAGTGTGAAAACTATAACTCCTCGTGGTGCATTTTCAATAAATTTTAAAATATTCTAAAAAATTGAAGATTTTTAATAAGGTGTGAAAATATAATCTAAAAAGTTTGGTATTTTTATTTGAAAATGTATTTTCTCATACTCTATTTGAGTTTAGTCAGTGTGCTATGTTGTAGTTGAATGAAACTGACTAATTATTAAAAATAAAACAACCTAATAAATGGGATACTGGTTCTCGAAAAAATCAACATATTAGTTCGATGTAATCAAAATATAAATATAATAGTATTTTGAAGTTCACTATTATAATGCTATGTGATGATTTTTTTTTATTTATATCTTAGTGATATTCGTGGTCCCTTAATATTTTGAAAAATTTAAAAATTCTATGTAAAGTTATGAATATTTTTATTCTGGTTGAATATTACAACGTAACATTTCGCTTTTTGTAAATGGTAGGTCTCCTTACCACATATTATTTTAATCGATAAATTATATCTATTCGGATGAAAACGGAGAAGTGTCGGGCTCGCATAAAAAATAGCAGTGAAAATATATTTTACGTGATATTATGGTGAAAATTGTATTAGTTTAAGGATTAAAGACGAAATTTAATAGCAATAGACTCGCGCGATATAAATGTACCGTAGTTACTCACGTTAAGAATTCCTTTCAGCGGATCAAGGTGGATACTTTCGACCTGTATGACACTCGGTGGCAGAGGTCTGGAGGAATCGGTAATGTAGTGCGCGTTATTGAACACTATTGATGGCTTGGCCGGTTCTACCAGGTCAAAGGGTTGCAGATACTTTTTGGGAATCGACCAGACTTTGTATTGGAGAAGCGACGACTTGTAGCAGTGCAACAACGTGTTGGTGAACCGCTCCAGGAACGTTCTGGACACGCTGTATTTGGATAACGTGTGAGACACGACCACCGGGTTCGAATAGTGTCCGAAAACGGAACGTTCTTTGTACAAAATCAGTGGCGATGGACTCACATACACTAACGGTACGTTGTTCAGCAGGACCGACAGATACGAAATGCACTCCGAACTTATTATCTCTGCGAAGACGACGTCGAATTTTGCGTGCGAATCGTTTGTTATTTTACCGAAAGCTTCGTGCTCGTAAAGTTTTTGGCATGCATTGCGCCAGTATGCGTGCACATAGTTAATCAAATCGTCGTGGTCCATCAATTCCCTTTCCACGAGGTCGATGTCCATCTTCAGTAATGATGAGAAACTGTCCGTCAAGTCGACTTCCGTGTAGTTCTTCCGGTCGCCGTCAGGATTTGCGGTAAACACGGTGACGCGGTGACCGTGATCCGTCAACACGCGCAGGATCCCTCGCATAAAGTTCCAATAGCTCTTGCCGGCTACCGGCGAGACGGCCAGAAACGTTTGAACTCTCAGATGGTTGAGCGGCGAAAAAAATAACCGTTAAAACTAACAGGTTTAACAAATCCGTCATCATTTTTGATTGTTACGACTTTAATCGTTCGAATATAATCCATACAAGTTTACGTTGTTAATGAGCGAAAGCTCATTATTGGTACGAGCAAGAATAACGTCAAAATATTAGTGTTTATTTATTTTTATTTATAACTTTTAACTTTTATACGTTTTGTCATACGTTCATATAAAAAATATTTAATTGTTAACATCAAGCGTTTCAATAAATAGTTACAAGACTAGTGATAAGACTTACGGATACAATAGATTTGTTCGTTTAGGAAAAAAAGTGTACACTAATTAGTGTAGTATCTGGATGAAGTGTAAGGGGTGTGATCAGATACCCGTCTTCAAAACAAACGGTTTTGGTGTAGGTTAATCAGCTGATCATTTTTATCAATTGTAATAATTGATAATCTATTTCTATTGGTAGTAGAATTGAACAATAGTTAAGTAAACTTCTTGTATAATATTTAATATTAATAATTAACAATTATAATATCAAAAGAAAATATATTAAATACAAAAATTGCACGTGATGGAGTTTTGTGACTCTTCCGATGAAGAAATATTGTTAGAGCTGTGGAATCCTATCAAAATCCCAGCAGCTGTATGTGTAAACGATGACGATTTACACTTGGGTCAGTGTAAAAAAAGTGTACACTAATGTTACACTTTTTTAAAAAAAACGGCGTGTAAGACTACACTTTTTCAAAATAAACGCTTTGGTGTACACCTGTTGTGAAAAAGTGTACACTTTTTGACAAAACGAACAAACCTAATATTTGATTAATAATGATAAGTGATAGTGTCCTTAATGTATGTGAAAAGTCTGAACACGAGTTAAGACAAGGATATATCTGAAAAAGGAAACAATATTATTATACTTAGTAGTTTGTTTTTAAAATAGAAATTAATACTTTCTCACTACCCAAAACTAAATGTATTACAGATATAATTCACTTATTTTCATACTGGTTTCTGTCTTATTGAATTTTTTACCTTATCGTTCTATGAGAATTAATATTTAATTAAAAATTCGCATTTAGAATTATTATGAGTGTGCTTTATTAATTCGTAATTTGAAATAGATAACAAGATACTTATTATAAAGTTATATAATATTTTAATGCTACAATGTTGAGACGTTGTAGATTTTAACCTAGCAGCATTAATAATATTATAATTTTTGAGATTATTGCACGTATATAGAAGACTATCTACGTTGTTGAACATCCACGCTGAACGTGATACAATAGTATATTTTATAATAGACTTAATATAAGTGTATAATGTTGTATTAGTGTATGATTGCATTTATATATTTATGGATTATATCATATATTTATTTATAATTAGATATGGATAGGACTCATTTTAGGAGAGAAGGTGTAATAAAGTGAATCCAACTTTACTGAACAAGGAAAGACATACATTTTTAAAATGGGCTAAACACTTTAGTTACCTTTTTCTGCGGCAAGAAGAAATATTATTTTGTATTTTTGTCTAAAATATTTTCTTACCTCGTCTTGACACAGTTGATTTGTACGAAAAAGATCGAATTTAAGAAAATAAATGTTATTCGGTATTTTTTTTATAACTTTGATAAATACTTGATGGAGACGTACGACACAATACTGTTTATGGAGACTGTCCGAGAAGTGACATGAGAGCTTTTCTCTTGCTTTTTTATGTCTCTTATTATTGTTTTTATTGTGCGCTTCCATCATTAAGTTTTTATTAATGAAATATAATACAGTGATACTTAATGTTATTTTTTTGTATAAATAATATTCTTAAAATTATATAATATTGTAACGTACAAAGTAATTTAATAATTAATATGTGTTCATAAATACATTTATTATTGATTAGTATTCATTTGTTTTTATTAGTTTTAATGGTGACTAACATGCCTTATGTGTCTTCGAACAATATTACAAAGGATAGGCGTTGGTTTTTTTTATCCCTATTGGTATATTTTGAAAGATTTTCATAGGACCAGCAAATCGTATAAAGTAATTATTTTTTATATTTAACAAAAGCAAATGGTCTGATTATCAGTCTTCAGAACTACAAAAAAAAACAAAATTCTGGAAAAAATGTTGGATCAATAATAATATCAATAATATAGTATCGACCATAAGCGGTAAAATTCTAAATACGTCCCAGATATATGCAAACCCATATCGTTATTTGCCATTATCTAATTACGTTATATATGCACATCCGTCGGCGGTTTGTATGGAAATTGTTTTCTCTCACGCTAAGTTGCTCCAAACTGATACTTGCTTCAAACGACCTATAGTATAGTATGATATACATAGTGCACATAAATAATAATTATTTTTTTTTTTTATAATTTAACGAGGTTTAGTATACGAACATAGTAATATTCGACAGTTTTTGATTGCAAATACATTTTATTTTTTACGATATTTACTTGACGTTTTTTATTTAGCTACTACATCAGAAAGTCAAAACTTATTGGCTGATACATTTTATTTTTAAATAATGATTAGTAATTATAATAAAAATTACAATATCTTTGTTTAGATATATTCATTCATAATAGGACCTGTAAGATGGCACGTTTAATATACAACTCTTTATTGGGTAATAAAATTATAAACTATGCATTCGATCGCATGAAGAATATTATATAAGTATATAAGACACTGAAGACTTCTTTGACTACATTTTTTCAAGCACGACGAGGAATACATTTCCAATACTATATCATTATAAATATCGATGGATTTAACAAGCAGTGCGTACTAGAAAAGTGTGATTAGACTTTTGTGTGATATCATTGACCCAAATTGATACGATAATAATTAGTACTTAAGTTGTTTTGTAGTTCACGGTGAATAATTTTAAATTTAACGTTAGTTGTTCATTACTAAACGAGATTATTTTGATCGTATATAATATACGAATCCATAGAAAGATTATAAATAGTATTAAGAGGACGTCACACCCGTATGCGTTGTCTTCTTATAATCAAACGTTTGATTAGAGGTCAGTTTTCTCTAATATTAAATCTTACTCACTAAATTTGAATCACTGAACGCAAATTTGCTTTGTACGTAAACACATGCGGATGTGACGTCCTCTTAATACTGTGTGACATCCAGTACGGAGAAATTTACTATCTTTGTTTTAAAAAGTTGAACTGCCATCGAATGTTCCTCGGAACCACACAAAAATTGATTGTACTATCTTATTTTGCGTTCGGTATAGTAATCAATCACTAGTTCGAATGTCAAATCCGCATTGCTGCAGTTTTATCGTATACACTTGTGACACATGTGTTTACTACGGGTTTATTTTCATTTAATTAAAAAATATTACGCACGTCACACGTTCGGTTTCAATTTGTTTGCTAATTTAAAAATAAATTATAATATCATCATGAAATACGGTCCTTTAAATGCACTAAGCTTTTCGAACAATTGATTTAATGTTATTGTAACTCGCTATCGCGTTATTTCCTCCGAACGAATTGTGCACAATGTCGCGTTGTTCCCCGACGAACGAAACAGTGCACTGCTCAAACGGTCGTGAAAAACGTATCCCGTAAAACGAACGTTAAATGTTGTCGGTATACGACCATTGGTATATTGGTAAATTATACATATATATATTTAGTATATTTGTGGGTATACGCACTAAACAAATATGGATATTAATCCTAAAATAAATTTTCTCGCTTCGCTCGACAATTCTTAGATTGATATACATATGAGATAGGCCAGGCGTTATAAATTGCATGATGCAGATTTAAGAACCATGGGTTGAATGCCCACACCGGTGCATACTACTTGCGTCCGAGATTATTGCGTAATTTGCGTCCCACCAAAAAAGGCTATTATTTTATAATTTTATACTTCAATGTTATTCACTACATTTAACAAAATACATTAAACACAACGTACACTGCAATCTTCAATAATCTTCAACAGATAAATATTTCATTCAATTTCATGTTCATCACAAATTTTTTAAACGAACTGTTAAATTATTATTTTTTTTGGTTTTCGAGTTGTTTTGGAAGCGTAAACCCGTAAAATAATATTTTACATTGGGCCGAAAATCTGTTTGATGGGTATACGCTGTATCAGGGCTGGACTGGCCCACTGTGCTATTGTGTTACTAATATTATGTGATATTGTTCTAACGCGATACTCGCTTTTGGCTTTTGCTTATCAAAATAGTATGTTATCTGAGTTTTTCTAATGGGGGGGGGGGGGGATAAAGTAAATTGTACGTTTAATATTTGTTATGAACCTTTAAAAAAAGATATTTTTAATTATTAATTCGAAATGAAATAATTTAATTTACAAAAAATAATACTGTATTTTTATTAAACTCCACTAATTCTTTGTGTATTATTTTAAAGAGTATACTTTATAGTACAAAGTAAACATTATAAGATAACATCACATAACTAATCATGATCGTTGAATATAATGGTTATAAGAAAGTGCCTCCCCTCTAAATCCTACCAAATATCAATTTTGTGCGACGAACACCTTAAAAAATTCCCGAAATAATACGTTGTGGACCGCCTGTTTACCTAGAATAGTAGACCGGTACCCTCCTAGTCCGGGCTTTCGCTGAAACCCGCGTATACGTAGTAAAACAACCCTGCTGTACAACGGTTGAAGAGTGAACCAGCAGCGTGTGGCGAAAACCGAAAACGGTTGGTCGACTGCGTGGGCACTGGTATTACTCTACGGATCACCGACGTGAACGTGCACACATATATTATCGTGACACGACGCCTGCGGGCGAAATTGTTGTCGTTGTGACACGTTAATCCTGCACCGCGAACCGGAAGCAACACCGCGGACCGACCCCGTATGGTTCGCGCAAGTTTCGACCTCGTGCGATGAATTGGGTCACCGGCGATAAGTGCTGCCGAAGGGAAGGGGAACACAAAAAAAACCGAGTGTGCGAAAATCGTCCCGAAACGCCTCAAGGCCCGCACGTATTGTGCAAAGGTTTCCGAACGGTCGACGGTTCGCAAAATGCGTTTCGGAATCCTGCGTTTTCGAAACGTTTTTGAATCGTCCTTTTGTGCGGTGTTTACATTTCGTACACGATACGATATTATGTGAATTCCAAGTGCTACTAAGTTGTTCCGAGAGTGCATTGGTGTATAACGTTGCTATAATAGGAACATTATCTATACTCTGTTTATTCAACTATTTTAGGCCATTGTAAACAACATGACGTTTTACATCGAGTTGGTATAATATTAGTAAGTAATCTATATGCAAAAGAACAAAACAAAATTAACCGAACATAATATTATACCTGTATTGTTGCGACCTATGCAAAGTCATGACTTTACACTTGAATTTCAAAATATGTTTTAATACCTACTTGGCGGCATCTATACGAGTGTACCCATTAACATATTCCAACTATCGTTTTCGCTGTGACGACAAACAGAATACACATGATTTGTAAATCGTATTATTACTATCTTGTAAAAATGGAAATGCAATTAGGACAAGGGCCGAACATGTTCATTTCAAGTTAATAAAATAATTATTAATCTAATCACCTAATATTAAATGTTTAAATTATAAACAAAAAGCGTTATACAATATTGTTTGAGTGATATTTTATGTAGAAAAAAATTCTTTATTTAAGAGTCAATATTATTGTATGTCACAGTAAGAGAAAATTATTATTTAATGACGAACAAGGCGTGACATCTGAAACAAGGCATACGACAAAAACGAATTCTGTGCAAAACAGAAACAATTAATAATAACACAAGTACAATATCAGTTTGATAGTTTTTATTTCAATTAATCTATACACGAAATAATAATCACCTATTTTATAATTAATTTGTAATAATAATAATAATAATAATAATAATAATAATAATTAACTGTAGTTAAAAATCAAATAAAATTACATATAATTATGCAAATAAATAAATAAACAAATAAATATATATAAATTAATAAACGTTTATATATATATACACGTCAACGTTGTACAGCGTGTGTAATGAAAAAATGGCATAGTTTTATTTTATATTTTTTACGGATAAATTTCAAACATCAAGACCAAACAAACAATCGGTTACTATTAGAATATACATTATACAGTATAATATTCTACATATTATTATCATTACACAATAAACTATCTTCACTATATTATAGACGTCGTTTCAGAGCGCGTAACATCATCTCATATTATCCGACTTTAGAAAATAATTTTTATTTTATTTTTCATCACTAGTATCTATGAAATATTATTTCTATTATGCGTTCACGATAAAATTTATTATTTCTATTATAATAGTAGTAGTCCGTAGTAATTGTTACTGTAGTCGTAGTAGTAATAGTAGTAGTAGTAGTAGTAGTAGTAGTAGAGTAGTATTAGTAGTATTAGTAGTAGTATTCAAACTAATATATCTACATGCCAACTTAATGTTTAGTGCAAAACAGGAATGGTCTGCGATAGGACTTTTTTTTTTCAAATGTTATACCGTTTTGCCGCGTACGAACTTTTGCGTCGGGAAAACGTGTAACCAATCTGCGACACGATGACACCGTACGATGTACGTGTACCGTACACGTAATGACGTGCGTTTGTGCCACGTTTGTTGGGATGGGAGGGAAGAACAGCGGTGAAAAGATGCCGTGACGTGTCGGTATAATATTTACTTCGCCCGTGTACGTGTAGAAAAAAAAAAATTAATATTTTTCGTCGCCGACGGGTGGACATGTGGATCGAGGACCGCCGCGATGACGAGGTGCTCGACACCGACAACGGAAATATGTGTCAATTAGTTTTCCAAGTACCAGACGACGATCATATTCCGACGATAGTATACCGGATAACGAGGGTTGGCCCTCGCGAAACGTGATCGAAAGTTATTTTGATTTATTTTTCCCTGTCTGTCCCACGGTGTACGTGTCGCAGTGACCCATTTTTTTTTACTATTTTTTTTATTATCATCTTTACCTAACACTTCAATAGTGACACTTAAATTTTTAGTAATTTTTAACACACACACACACACAAACACACAACATTACACCGATAATATAATGTAATACGCACGCAGACCTCGAGAATTAACACCTATTGGTTTTCTGTATTTGAATGTTTTTTTTTATAATTTTTAGTTATTAATTTTTTTATACACACGATAACATCAAATTTAATTCAAACTCCTTATCAAAGGTGTAAATATTGTGCTAAAAAAAAATTCGGTCAGCTCGTACCGATATAACTATAACGAAAAGATACGAGTAAACATAATATAAGTTTATTGTCCGCCGAAAAGTATACAATAGAATAATATTAGTATTATCTTTTAAGTTTAGGCTAACAATTATTAATATCATAAACATTATAAATGTATGTACGGCAGACCATTCCGTGTAGCGTTGTCGAAGCCGTATGTTTTTTGTATTAGACAAGAATAAAAAAAAAAAAAAATGACGCGACGCTATCGACGATATCATCTGCAGATCCGAGGTAGTGGTTCTACTGTGATTATTATATTTCGAATGATATTTTATATACAATATATATTATATTATTACTACGGTCGTATACGTTATATACGCTGTAATAATATTTATGATATTTAAGTACTGCTCGTTTTCCGGCCTAAAATATCGACGACCTGCAGCTATCTGCGCGGTATAATTTGGATTTTTTAAGTAAATTTTTTATAAGTTGAATTTTTTTTTTGCAACTGTATTTTTTTTTTGTTTTATACATTTAAATTATTATTATTATTATTTTTTTTTTTTTGTGTCGGCACTGCTGCGTAAAGAGGTTTTGTTGTTGCAAGCACCGTGTTTGTTTGCGGGGGCAGTCGTGACGGCGGTATCCGAAACAGGCCGGCCTTAACAGCTGCAATTCGGATTGTTCGGACCTTGTGGCTGTTCAGTGAGTCTGGTCCCCTTCGTGCCGGCCACCAATGTCGGATCCGAGTCCAAGCTCTCGGACATCTTGTCGCATATAATGTCCACGAGTCGTTCGAACACAGCCTGCAAACAAAGACACAATTATCGTCGTACTGTTTCACGGTGATCGCGAAATATTTATCTTACAATATTTACGCCATGAGGCATTACAATACATATTTGAACAACAAGTACTGACAACGAGATAACGAAAGTGACGAGCAATAAATAAACCAAGCTAGTAAAAAAAAAAATACAAAAATTGTGAAAGAAAGAAAATTTAAATCATTGGCTGGAGTGACCGGAACACACGATGAACAGTGGAACATGCGAGCAGACAAAATTTTCCTCAATTCGATAAGTAAAGATTCCGAATGAGATAACTGCAATTATGTCGGGTGCGTCTAGCGTCCCGTCAATATAGTGTTGCAACTTACGAATTTTGATACTGTAATATTACAGTCATCCCATGCATGCGACGAGAATGACGTAGGAACGCTCTTACCGGGAATTAACGTTGAACGATTTATGGATGAAGCGACGGCCAACTTATGGAAAATACATTTATGATTTCGCGCGTTTTTTTGAACATTAACAGGTTTCCAATATTATGAATAATGACGATAAACATTAAACGTATGTAGCATAATACGGCAACAAAAGTTTGACGGGCGACACATGCATGAAAGTAATTCGATTCGTTTGGCAAACGACTCTTTGATTGCACAGACGTTCATCTTAATACTGTATAGAATGCGTTTACAAGGGCTTCGTATGTTGCGTATCGCACAGCGAACCCGGCTAAGAACGTTCCTTGGTGAAAAATCAAATTGTTCAAGAATATTATTTTTTTTTTTATATTGAAACGAGTTTTCCCTCGTCAATGTACAGTATTAATATGTAATATATTAGACGAATTTTAATGCGATAGTATAATTATCCAACCCCCTCCCACGTATAACCTCGATTATTTAAGAATGTGATTGCAATTACAAATCAACACGGTTGTTTTTGCTTTATTTTCGATTGCATAACACCGACTAATTTTGACATTTTGGCAAACACTCTTGTGCGAAATTATGCCTATAATATTATATAATTTAATGATTGTAATCACTAATCATAGAATATTTTATCAATACGTTAAAAATACAAAGTACCACCTCGGTCTATGGACAATAATTATTTCTCACTCAGTAACTGCATCGTGGACCTATAATTTTAGCAGAAGTAATTGTTAAATAGTAATTACTTTAAAATTAGTCATCTCCTAAAATGTAGTTAAACAAAATTAAACTATATTCAATTAAAGCCAAAGAATAAATATTTTATTCAACTATTTGATTGGAATTGGAAATGAATATATTATAATTGTATTGTATTTTGGGTCGTGATTTATTTAATCTTGTTAAGACGTGATTAAAAAGATTGTTGTACACCGTTACGTTCAAGTTTTGAGGATCATTAAATCGTTTTAGACGACTAAAGCTTTGTCGAAGAAATAACGAATCTCACGGTGATGGCGATGAATCCAACCCTACGTAAAAATACGGCGTAATAAGAGGCCGTCTGCGATAATTAACGTAATAAGACGAGAAAAAGTTTAAAAAGCCGTCCGAGGCAAGGGAATGCAGTTTGCGATTAAAGCTATTAACTCGACAACCGTGCGTATCTCGCTGCTTTTATAAGACGTTTAAGAACCGTGATTAAAAGCGCCGGAAAATATAATTAAAACGACTTTACTCCTACGCTTTATATTAACAACAATATTAATAAGCCCTGTATTACATAATCGACTGGCGCAAATTAGCGTTAACCATCTGTGTGTAATATATACTCGGTAGTGTACGCGAGCGTCACATTAGAATTCCGAAATAAAATCTCGCAGTTTATCATCGAAACACATTATCGCGAAAACCCGAAAAAGGGTCTAAACACCCTTTGGTAGGTATGAGAAGGAAAAAGGACGTCGCCACCGCGTCTACAGAGTTTCGTTATGGCAACGTGACAACGTAACTGGAAATGGCGATGCCGCCGAGTTAAATTGGGTCACCGGGACAGAATTTCCAATGGCCTATATAAAACCGAACGATGGGCACGGTCCGCATTAGCGCCGCCACCACGGGTCGTTTTCCAATAAGATTTAAAGTTTTCAACGCGCATAAACTACGATCATAAAATTATTATTATTGTTATTACTACTACTATTACACATTACGATCATCATCGCGGTTAGGCGTTTCGTCGACGTGTTACGGCGGATCGTAAAACTGCACTACCCGAAATTCGACTGGTGGCAGGACGACCCCTGGAGCGAGAAGATTTCCGACGATAAAAGCGGTGTTGCGTGCGTGTGCAACGAACTGACGGAACGGATCTACTTTATGTTATGTTATATTATATATATATACAAATACACACACACGAACACACGCTGGATTGATTAAGGGGTGTGTTCAACGATGACGGGCATCCCCTAATTGAGTACGGTTTAAAAGCCGTATTCGACGTAATATAATAAAAACGCACACCATCATATGAGCAGAAACCGAACGTCAATCTAAAGTCCGATGCACATACGTTTTACAGATTTAATATTATATACACTTTTTGCGGTGAATAATGGATTTTGGTTTATCATTATTAATCCGCGATGGCAATAAAATTCACGTGTGTTTGACTATATACTTATGTTAATTGTAAAAGAAAACATGTATATAGACACACGGGCTTTGAGACGTGCCTGTGTAGGTTGTTGGACCTACCACCACTCGTGATCCCGACCTAATATATCGTGTCTGTACGATGCCCACACTTCGTACATGCCTTACCCGTGTAAGTCATAAGTACAGCGATGAAATTTTTGTATAGGTCGTTCAAAATTAAGGAGCGTACGGATCAGTAGGTTTTTTAGGTTGTTCAATAAGTAATGCGACAGAGTCTTATATTGATTTACGCGTGTATTCGAGTTTTTGTTCGTAAATGTATTCTGGGCCAAATTTCGGGTGGGTCGATTCTACGCGGAATTCACCGAAGTGAGATATCCTGTGCTCGTTTCACCGCTGTACGACTTCTCTTCTCCCGACTCACGAAGCGTACCGATGAGCGATTCGGCACGCCAACGATCGCGTCGATATAGCAATGTGTTGATACTACGATAATCCCGAGAGCGAATACGTCATGAAACGGCGGTAGGAATGTTTCATAAAACACGAGATGCATGTGTGATGTAAATAAATACACGTAATGTATGTAATTTTTATTCTCAATACCGACCTTGACGTTGTGGTTGTCTTTGGCGGACGTTTCGAAGAACTCAATGTTCAGCTCGTCGGCCAACGTTTTGCCTCGCTCGTACGATATGACGCGTTCGTGTTCCATGTCGCACTTGTTGCCCACCAGTATCACCTGCGCGTTGTCCCAAGAGTACGTCTTGATCTGCGTGACCCTGCAAAGGACGCACGCACGCACACGAAATCGTTGTTAATACAAGTACATCTGATGAACTGTTTCGCGCAGAGTAAGCCACAGGGCGAGTGCACGTCTAACAGAAGCTCCAAAGGGAGCACAGTGTGTGTACTCACCAATCTTGCACGCTATTGAACGACTCCTCGTTGGTGATGTCGTACATGAGTATGAACCCCATGGCACCCCGGTAGTACGCCGTCGTGATAGTCCTGTACCGCTCCTGGCCCGCCGTGTCCTGCATAGATATATTGGAGACAGCGTTTTAATGACACGGTAAGCACACACACATACAAAGTCATACACGTATACATTATATCATAGTAATACACCATGGGTGACATGCTGCAGTCCGTAACACTCACCCATATTTGCAGTTTGACCCGTTTGTCATGCCTGAAAACGGTTTTCACCTTGAAGTCAATGCCGACCGTGGACACGAACGCTGATGTGAAACTGTCGTCCGCGTACCGAAACAGGAACGAAGTCTTACCCACGCTGCTGTTGCCGATGATGAGCAACTTGAACATGTAATCGAAGTTCTGATCGGAACCTTCCTTCTGCCATTTTCCGTCTTGGCCGGCCATGTTTTCTCACTGTTGGCCAAACGTTGTGTTAAGAATCGCGTAACTTTTACCGTAGGCCAGTGAGCGATAAACGGAGGGGGGGTTAAGGAATAATATTAAAAAAAAAAAAAAAAAAAAAACACTATACGCTACACACGCGTAGTAATTTTTGGTAAAAATATATTTTTGTAACAACAACAATGATGACGATTGCGAACACCGAACATGCGTGTCCAAATCACTTACCTCGTGCGAAACCCAACGGCGACTAGTTCACTGCGTGCGAGACGTGGGGGCGCGCCGCTTCTTCTTGCTACCCTACGCGTTTGCGTGTACGTGCTACGTACAAACTTTCAGGGCTGTCCTGACGAGCTTCGTTTCCTTTTTTCCTTCTTACTCTCTCTTTATGCGTTTGTCATCTGTTGAGGAGGAGAAGGAGGAGGTGGAGGAGGAGGAGGCGATAGCAGCAGGAGTAGCAGCGGAAACGGACGTTCACGTTCTGAGAGACGTTCCGGAAACACACACGCGCCCGCGCACACACACGCACACCCACACGCACGCACACACGCGGACACAGCGAGCGAAAAGGATCAAAAGCCCAATCGATACCCGCGGTGGCACCGGCGGTGGCGGTGGGGCGACACCTAGCGGTGCGGAACCGAACGACCAGACCGGGATTACATCGCCGCGCGATTAGATTTTTGAATATTTTTTTCGCATTGAAACGGACTTGCGCGTTCACACTATTTCGCGGTGCGAAAAACTAATTTTTTGTCCGTAAAATTATCAATTTTAATAAATTTTAATAAATTTCAATAAATTAATCGAAAAAGATAACGGTGCATTGACGTTGTTATCATTTGGTGAGCGCGCGTTCGTATATATACGGGCTGGAAAAATCTGACGAGCGAAACAAGGACAAGAGGATCACGGTGGGTAGAGAGGGAGGAGGGGACGGAGAAATGGGACTCGAAAAACGGCGATGGGGTCTATATTGATTTTTGGAGGCGAGAGTCGGCTTCGGCGCGCGCACGCTCAACTCCGCCCGAATAGCGTTGCCGTCGCCGCCACCAGGAAATGTATCGTGTTCTCGGTAGGAAAAGCGGCGCCTGCGTACGTATTCTTTTCCGCGAGTCCTTATACACACATACACGCACGCGCGCTCACACACATGCGTCCATGTATACGTGATAACTAACCTGTTGGTCGCCCAATCCGTTATCGCATCGTCCTGTTGGTCCGGTCCTGCAGGATACCCGAGTGCGCTCCCCGCGTGCTTATTATTAACGCCGGGTCATCGGGACGACCCAGGCGTGTGTACGTGACGGTTGCACTGCACGAATGCACCGGAGCTGTTGAACTATATCGTATTATTATTATAATTGTTGCAGCAACGTGCACTTTTTGACCGGCTGCAGTTCGACACCGGTTTCACCGCAGCAGTGGTCTTCGCGAAACTGACACGGACCACGAAGGAGCGCGCGACTTTTACGATCTACATGTACATTTGCATATTATAAGGCGGTTTACTTGCTGCTACACAACGGTCGATTTGCGTTCCGTTCGTGGTTTTGTTTTTTTTGGTTTTTTTTTTTTTTGTTACGTGTGCGCCGAAAGCTGTGCAAACAGAATAAATAACGGAACGCGCGCGTTCGTCCGTCGCCCGCACAAGCGTTTCTGCTCTTTATTTATTCCGCGCCACAGCTGTTGTTCCCCGTTGCCGCAAGTTCGTTGTTGTTGCAAACGTTATGGCACTGTTGTTGTTATTATTACCGTCGTCGCCACGTCGCGTTAGGCTACGATAGTATAATTTCATTACGTGACCACCGAAGGAGGAGAAACCTAAATTTGCATAGATACATACTAATAAAATAAAACTGTTTTTAATTTTTTTTTTTTTTTTTTATATATTTTTATTTTTTCCTATTTAATTGACTTTAATCAAATCTATGTAATCAACCAAATGACAATAGATTATTGTTTACATGTTTGTATTTTTAAGTATATGATATAATATAAAATAATATATATATATTTAAATATGCATTGTTCGTGATCGCAGATAGTAATTTATGATAAAATACAATAGTATTACATTATAATGTGTACTCGTTAGCTTCAGGAATGGTTTAAAATACGATAAAAATACTCAGGAGATAAAAACGAGAAACCTTGGTACCGATTATGAAGTTTAAAACAATTTGCACATGTATATAATAAGTACGAGCATATGAATAATGAAAAACGTAGAAAACAGATGATTTTTTTTTTTTTAAGAATTAACGAGAATAATATTCTATAACGACTCTACTTGTCTGTCTAATATTATCAATATATAATATAATACGTATTGTACATATCGTATTTAATGTTTGTAAACGGATACCTAACATTATAAATTAATGATATCATTAATAGAAGTATTTCATATACATCAACATAAAAAACGTATTTCAATAATGTAAATGTATTATATAATCATAATTTTTAAAACATCGTTTATAATTAGTTATACATACGTCTATAAATCTTAGAAACAATAATAATAATTGAGTGAACGCTTATATTTTTTTATTATAATATAATAATAGTAATAATAATAATAATAACGGTTCCGAAACGGCTATATATTATAATATTAACAACAACGACGACGACAACGTTATAATTATTGCATAACGTGGAGATGTCGCCTCTTTTCCTCTGTTTCCGCACAACAAACGGCAGCACTTAATCTACGCATTTGAGCATCGATTACCCTAATACAATTGTAGAGACAAATCTCACCCGTAAAATAAAATAATAATTATATATATATATATATATATATATATAGAATACACTACGCCACCGGACAGTCTTTCATCGCCACGATTTAATGAATACAATACAATAGTAATAGTAATGATTAGAGACAGAGAGAAATAGAGAAATGGAGAGGGTGAGAGAGAGTGAGAGAGAGGGAGAGAGAGAAAAAGAAGAGACAGAGAGATAGAAACCGACAGAGTTATATTGAAAAGAAAAATTATTATGTAATTATGAAAAAGAATGAGCGGTTTCTTTATTATTATTTTTTTTTTTTGATTATGATTTTCGATTTTCAAAGACTTATCTTCTTGATCGCACCACATGTACCGCCGCCGTAAATACACGTCATCTCACGACGCGTCGTTAGCGCTGTTGCAGCCACTAAGACTGCCGTCGACTTGCAATCAAGTCGGGTCTTTGTCCTTGAGTGCTTGCAATATGCAGTGTTTGATTTCGTCCTCGGACATCTTGCTCATCGCTTCCAGCTCCGTCCTAGGCGCTTGTCTCAACCACCGGAACACCTCCACCGTTTTCCGATTCTTGGTCGGCCGGTGTCCGTCGCTGGACCTGCGCGCTCTCTTCACCTCTACGATCCGCGACAACGTGGCCGGAGGCTCGTCGTCCGACTTGCGCCTGGCCGATGGCTGCTGTTCGCCATTGATCACCACCCTTGGAGGTCCCTGTGAGTAGCTCGATTTCCGTGACGTTATCCCTCCGAGGTCGGGTCGTGACGACGAGGTGTCCGACGAGAAACTCGATCTAAAAACAGTGAACGACGACAACGATGTGAATTAGAACGTTGATAAAATGTAAATACGAATCTGATACGAACGGTTATTAACGGGTCAGGACGGAAAAACATGAACGAACGCTAAACGTTCGTAGTTTTAATATTATATGATATCTACGTAAGATTCGAATTACTTTTGAATACAACATCATGTGTGTCCATCGTCGATACTATTTCGGTTTTGTTAATACCTGGGTATTATTTCAAATACATACGTGACGAAATTTCATTGAGAAGCGCATCAATATTTACGTTATCATATAGGGCGCGTTTGTTTTGTTCCAAAAATTGTTGAAAACGGTTTTTAGACGGTTGAATGAATTAGAGTAGCAAAAAAAAGTACTAAATATTGAATAGGTACGCTCGTTCGATTTAGTAAACAGGTATTGAGTGCGTTAAAACCATATTAGTGTTAATAATATTAAAAAAAAAGGGTGAAAAAGAGATGAGTTGATGTTATTGCACTATTGGACTTATAAGCTTGTAACCAATGTACTATTATTTTCAAATAAACCATTCTGATTGAACGAGTTTAGGAGAATCAATTTATATAGAAGAAGAACAAATATTTTAATAACTTAGGTTAAACTTTTAATAATCTACTTTTTGCAAAAAAAGGCATCTAAAATTTGGCAAAATCGAAAATTTCAAGTACTTATAAATAGCCTAATTATTCATTAAAATAATTCGAAACTATGAAATATTTTTTAACTTATATCGATAAATAGAAATTCATTAATATATCTGATTTCGCCAAAATTAAATTTTGTAATGCATATGAGTATAGTACTCGTAAATACTTTTTACGACTTTCAAGACATTTGTTTTAAACTTACTAAGTTTGTAATTTTTTTTTTTTAAATGAAGTTTCATTTTTTTCTTTAATCAGTAAAATATTTATATAACATATGTGTGGAATTTTTCATTAAATTTTCAAAAACTTATGTTAAACCAAAATTATTTTATCGACATTTTCGAAAGATAGCTAAGAAAACATGAACATTTAATACATTTTCAATAAATATCTAGTTCAAAAATAATTGTTAAAAAATGATGCCATTTATATCAAACGATATAAGAATTCAGGGGAAATTTCATATCTCTACGATCATCATTTTCTAAATTACGATGAAAACAAAGTCGAAAACTAATACGTTGTAAACGTTGATGTTTTCATAACTTCTTGTTAGATTTTCGCAATTATTAAAAAAAAACTGTTGGAAAAAGTTATAAAATGAACTCCATCAAAGTACTAACTAGAAATCATTTTCTATTAGAAATCTCTTATGATCGGAATACTTCTTCTGATCGAAATCATGTTTACAGTCCAAAAGAAAAATAAATATTGTATCCACATTTTTAATATAATTATTACATCGTTAATATTATGTTTTTTTGAGGGAAAAAAATAACAAGTTTACATTTTTTTTTAATGAGTTGCATGACTTATTTTTAATATTTAATCATCTAAAAATGATTTTAAGATTCGAAAAGTAAAAATAATCGTCTGAACAGTGTGCGACTGTTAATAATTATGTTTAATAAATACATATTTTTAAACACATTAAGAAAATATGACCATTCATGTCAATAAAATATTAAAATATATCCGATCAACGTTTATTGTATAATATTTTGTATTATAAACGAAGTTTCGTTGAGGTAATCACAAATAAATGTTCGTTCTCTTTTTGAAAATTAATAAAATATCGTGTTTATTCAATATAAAGAGATTCGTACAAAATATTTAACCGAAAATAAGTTATTAACCAGATTATCATAAATTCATTTAGGAATATTCGCGAATAGGTGGTAAATATAAAATTAATATTAAAAATAAAAATAAAGAGAGATCATACATTTTAATATCACAAACAAGTGGTCAACGAATAGTTTACGACACGATTTAGTATTCACAAAACAATTATTAATTGGTAATATTTTGCAAATTTTGATCATTCCTTAATGCAAACCGATTCATTACAGTAAAATATTCTTTTTTCGGTCATCATAATAATACATTATATAATCAATTTGTTCTTTGTATCTATTAAAATAAGTTACACAAATATTATGATGTAATACAATGTAAGTGCAAATTAGGGTATACCCTAACCGGTCAAGTGCATCAGCTATGGATTGGCAACCCTTCCATGTACATAGGACATGGGTCCGTCATTCGATGATGGCCCTGGCTATACGGGGACGTTGCAACGTGAAACAATTTTATTTCTTATTTTAAATTTTATTGATTATTTGAAACGTACAGTACAATACATTAATATATTTAAATATAATGAATATAGAACTACGACGACATTGATTGAAACAGTACAAATTGTGATTTTGCGGTACAGTTATCGGTTTTTTCAAAAATAATTTTCCGTTTAACTGCGACTATAAACAAATGGAAAGTAAAGAGTACACTATTCCGCATTTATCTATACATTTTATAGTTCATAAATAGAAAATTTATTAAGAAGGTGTGCTAAAAAAACACCCAAGGAGTATTGTGTTCAGATCTTAATAACAGTACTATTGTTACAATAAATTCAAAAATAAAAAAAATAAACATTTAAATGGGCACAAAGGCGGAAGTGTTTTCTGATTATCAAAAATAATTCATATTCAATCATATTTAATGTACACGATTTCGGCGACCACCGTAGGATAAAACACGATTGCGTACGTTCGTTATCGGCGATACCTTTTTAAGCTACATGATTTCGTACGATTTTAACTGATTTTTAACTACACGATTGCGTACGATGTTTTGAACGTTGATGCTAATTTTCATACCGGTATTGGTGTATAACACATGCCTATACGAGAGAACCTAAGAATGTTAATAAATACTTTGTGTTCTATTGCTTTTATTACCTATGTTTTTTGTTAATAATATCAAATATATCAGTTATAATGAAATTTCATTATTTCCGTTACATTAAACGGTATTTTCCGAGTTTCAGTGAAAGTAGTAGGTTGTCAAGGAATTTCAAGGAATCCAAATTTAAGCATTTTCAAATAATTTATTAACAATAATTTAATTAAAAAAAACTGTCGATTTTATTTATTTATTAATTACTTTTCTTTTATTTAGTTATCCTTATTTTATTTATTATTTTATTATTGATTTTTTTTATGAACTATTATAGAACTGTTAGTATATGTATTTATTAGATATAATACGGTGAAATTAGTAAATTTGACAACGTCGCATACAATTGCATACGCAATCGTGTTTATTTATTTTTCTTACCCCCTTTTTGTTACCCATCAACAAACGTACGCAATCGTGTTCTATCCCCTCCATCCTCTTATCACTTAACTTATCTAAGCCTGCGCCTCCTCAGCAGATAATCAAAGGTTTTGCTCGAAAAAAGAATACACGCGAACAAGAAAAACGATCGAGTCCACGAGAACTGCCGGTGGACAGAATCGATCGGGGTCGGGCGTGACAAGGAACAGTGAAACAACATGAATCGAACGGGGAGCTCCGTAAACGTAAGGCGATCGTTTCGAGGGTGTTGCGGCTGAGCGTGGTGTACCTGAAGAACACGCCGGGCGACAGCAAGTTCGGACTGCGCGGCAAGTCGTTCTCCACGTACAGGTTGTTGTTGCTGAGCTTCGCGCCGATCAGTTCGGACGCGGAGAATATGCTCATGCGGCTCGATTCCGCGGGGCTCGGGTTGCCCGACGATCTCCTGATTAGCTGCTTGCGCGTGTTGAAATCGGGTGGGCTGTTGGACGCGCCCTGGCTCAGCCGGCGGCCCACCGTCTCCGAGTAGCTCGCCACGTCCGTGCTGTACCGGCGGATGCTCAGGTTTCCCGAGCTCCTCGACCGCTGCTTACTGTACCGTCTGCCGAGGCTCAACCTGATAACCGGCGCGCAACAGTAATCACAGTCATAGGCAGTAGAATACGATACCGGTACGCGACAGTAACGGTCGAATACGATTATTGCCATATTTGAAAACGGTCGAAATGTATATTATTTATACGATTATTTGACGCGTTTGGTTAAAGTTTTGAGCGGGTAATGAATGTCTAACATGACAGTTATTAACCTAATGAGATACTTGAAATAATAATTTGAATATTATTTTTTATCGGTCTAATAATCAGCGTATATACGTATCAAGTAATTAATATTGAATCTGAAAATCGCACAAAAAAACTGAAAATATAATATTTAGTTTATATTGGGGGTTTTTTATAAAAAAAATATTTTAGCCCTAATTATTATTCGACTTGGTTTAAATGTGCAGATTATTTGAATTTCATTAAATATTTATACAAACTATACAAATGTTTATTTTAAAATGAATAAGTTTTTTTTGACCGTAAACATTCAACCACGAATCAACTATTCTAGGTCTGTAAACGTTTTCTATGGGACTTCGTTACTGCCGCACCTTATTTTAATGACGTTCCACGGACAGTTGGTTTTTATTTTTTACCTGGCCGGTGACAAAAATTTTGCTGTAGTCCGCTTTGGGGACTGACCACTAGTCGGAGAATTGGATAAAGTCAACCTGACGTTTTGTTTTTTGTTGTTGTCCCTTTCTTCTCTTTGTATTCTGAAAGTACGTGACGCAAGAGACATACATAAACTTAATTACAATGTAACAAAAAAAAAAAAAAAACCAAATAAATAAATAAAAATCGATAAACACACCTTCGGACTTCTTCAATGACTTCAAAGAATTGACCTTTTCGTTTTCTACGTTCAAATTCTTTCTGTAAAAAATTTACGAGGAAATATTATCTTTAGCAATAGATATTTTACGGAGTGTGAATAAATTACTGACCTGTGCGTGCTGTGGGTGCATAAAAGGCAAGCTTACGCGCCGTACGCTTTTTTGAAACAGTGATGCGATTTGTCCTTGTCTGAGTGTGTGCACCAATTCTTTTGCCGTGTGTTGCGGTGATATTAGTTCCACGCTATTGATGAACTTGTAGAGTTTCTGAAACGATAACCCTCGTATTAACAACATTCTGTACGCGTACGTACGTCATTAAACAATAATAATATGTGTTGTTATGTTTGTAACGATGAGGTTTGGATATTGACGTACTTGACTGACGAACATTATGTTTTGATTCCTCCAAATCGAGTCTGGAGGCGTCTGTCGAAGTTTGGGCAACGCGTAATGATAGAATGCGTGTTCTAAGCAAAGGATGACTGCGCCCACTACGATGCCGCAGCCCAGCATAAGGAAAACGCCTAAGAACGCGTCGACCCCTAGCGGTGTCGGTTGTCCGAGGTCCGATGTTTCCAGTTCGCGATTGACGCAAGGCAGATCGCTGAACCATTTGTTTTGTAAGATATCCATAAAACCGTTGTTCACGTACTTCGAAACGGCTCCAGACACTTTTTCCTGTGGCAATACAACATAATCGAATTTACAAATTAGATAAAATGTGTGGCTAGTTCAGTCAGTACAATATCATATCATAATACACGAACACGCACCTTAAGAATAAAATTTTTCGTCATGCCCACCGCATAAACATCCTCGTAAAGCGGATCGCCGTGTGGTTGAAGTTTACAGTCGTGATCGGTACCACTGTAATAGTCTAAAATAGGCTTGTCACCGATGAATATGTCCAAACTCCCATTCCTGAAAACGAATATGATATGTTAAATGTAATCAGAAATATTTCATTCATCATTATTCAATGTATTGCACAGTGTGAACTTAAAATTATAATAACTTTAAATCAGTGGTTATTTAATTGATTTACACTAATTAACATTCAGTTTACGTAGCCATTCTAAATGATAAAAATATTTATTGTACATACATTTAGAAAAATAAATTCAGATTAAGTATTATTGTCTGCGAGTGATTTGTTTTAATGTTGAAGTCATTTTTACCGTTCCCAGTCAAATTAGTTAATTTTTTTTGAACAATTATTTATAGAAAAACACCTTTTTGTTATTATTTAAAACAATACACGAATGTTTTAAAGACGAAATTTAATGTATGATAAATTACTAAATTAGTTCCTTCTTGTCCGCCTAAAATTATCTCTTAACAACATCTACGAATATAATGTCGACTTTACCCTGTCAAAACCTGTACGGTTATACATGTTGTTCACATATGGAATACAGCTAAATGCTATAAAATAGCAGAACCGTCTGTGAGGTTTCTTATATATTTGTCTTTGTCAAATTAGAGAAGCCACACAGAGCATATTTATCAAAATCGTATATAAACACACGACTTGAAAAGGCCATATCTTAAGCACACAGTAAGTCTTAACCATTGAACATCAGTTACTGCTTGAAACGTCATGTGGAACTTAATATTTATTTTCTAATCCAAGTGAAAATATATGCCTCTAATTTGTATACAGGCCAAAATGTTGACCAAAACATTATATACCAAAATATTATCAACTTACGACGGATAAAATTAGGTAGAAAATTAAACTGATGAGACACTTTTTCTCTACGCTTTTATTATGCTTTTGAAACTGAAAAAACAATTTTTTTTTATGATATATCTTTTTTTAGAAAAATATTTTATCTCAAAGTTTAAAAGACGTTATTTGTTTTAATTAATATGGATACATGACATGGTGCTTCGCTAAATACTCCGATGGAAATCCATCTGAAAGCTATAAGATCAGATGGCTGGTTTAACCAGTTAATCATTCTACCACATCGTACCTATTATTAAAAATATAATGTGGAAGGGTCTATTGTTTTTTGGTAAATTGTATACCTCAACATCCGCATGCCAGACGCTGTGTCCGGAACAGAATATTTCTGAACGTGTTGCCACAGAGCAGGATTTTCGTCTTTCAAATAAACTTCGGCAGACGACGATTTTGCCGATCCTACTTTCATCGAGAACATCTGAAAACCAATGACCATTGGATTAATATAAATTATGGCCGTGTATGTATTCTGCAGTGCGTCGTCCGATCGAATACTGACATTTCGGTCATTGTAATCCACTTGAGCGTTTTGAAACAGCAGCGATGCAATCAGAGCCGCTATGTTGGCAGTGTAGCTCGCCACAAAAATCACGCAGAACCCACCCCAAACGTTGATCAGAAATTTGTTCGGCCACGATTTTGGTGCTTTGAAGTTAACCAACGCGCCACAGAGTAGACCCCACATGGCCCACAACGCGGAAGGCATTCTGCGATACGGTACGTGAAACGATTCGTTATAGCGGGTTATTATAGCGTTAACAATGAAATATATTATGTAACATGGAAACGTGCAAACGTTTGACAATCAAACAATATACTTACCCAAAATTCTTCGATCTCTGGCGGCCGGAGGGATTCAACCCAAACGGGCTGAACCACTCGTAGAGCGCAACAGCCACGGTAGTGACGTGGAGCGACACGAATATGGCGATCCAAAGGCTGGGGCTGAGGGGCAATAAGAATGCGAGAAGAGGCACGTTGGTCTTTCTTTTCGGTGCGACCATCATTGATACACCGCTGTAGAAATACGGAGTCGAGAAGTCCACCCATTTGGATCTGGGGATATAGGGGGAAAAATGATGTGAAAAACGCGTTTCAGAGAAAATTCTATCGATTTGAACGTAGATCGACTACTGGCCAGCAAATGTACTCACCTCGTGGACGTGACGCTCAACGGACAGAAAGCCATGTGCGCGGAACCGGACACCAGATCCCCGATCACTCCGTTCCATTGGAGCTTCCGAGATCCAAACGTGCCGTCAGCCACCAGATACAGATGAAAGTCAAATTCCAAGTCTTTGGACATTTTTTCCAGTAGGTCTATGGACAACCCAAAACAACAGTACGTGTCCGGCAGTGACCTATACGTAGTGGCGAAATGTACTTATCATTGTAATTATTTCAGATCTATGTGGTAGCAGCGGTGGTTTACTTACTTTTGATTGATGTTCAATTTGACGTCCTTAAAAATCATCGTTATGTTATCCTTATTGGTCGTAGTCATCTGATAACATTGTATCCCACGCAGGCATTGACGGTCCTGTTGTAGGGGTGCGTGCATGACGAACGGTGGCCCGATGGCGGTGACAACCCTGTACACGGCTCGCCTTCCCAGACCCACGCCCGGTACCATTTTCCCTCCGGCCCACACAACCGAGTCCAACTTGACCGTTTGCGCACCCGAGCCCGAAGGGCTGACAGTGCCGACCTTCTTCCAAGTTCTCGTGTATCCATCTATATGAGGAAAGGAACGCATATAAAAGGTTTAATGAAAGAGAAAATGTTCTACCTAGTATTGAAGTAATTTATTTGACGAGTGGAAGAAAAAGAAAAATTAAAACAAAAGAGGTTTCATGTTTTGCATTGTCGAAGCTGAAGGAGAAGAAAAAAAATAAAAAAAAAAAAAATTAACGAGCAAATCCCTAAACCATTGAAAATTACAAGGTCATGTTGATCTCTTAAAAAAGTTTTAATTGTGTTCAGTCGACTAAAGATTGTAGAGCAAAGCGTATTCTTATTACTATACTCAAAGCCCTGGATGTCCGGGGAAAAAACCGTTTCACACTTATTATCTCTCGCCCACGTCCGACCGGATGCACGTAAATATTATAATACGTATATAACACATTGTACCTGTGGGGTGTTATACGCGTGACCGTAGAAATTTTAATAAAAAGTTTTGCATTATCTATTCGACAGCGGTACTTCTTTGACCAAACGTGAACCAATATTTTACCCTGACCGTCTCTCAGCCCTGGAACGTTTTTTGAACACAGCAAACCGTTATCGATTCGGACAGTGTGGCGGCGGTCCTGCAGTGCAGTTGTTATAATGTTATTATTATTATTATACAGACATCGTCAGCGGCGAATTTGTGTTTTTGTACAAGAACGAGGGGACGGATTTATATAACTTTTAAAGCGTTTATTTCCCTGCCGATCGCACATACGGATCATCACTTTGTATTACCGAAATAAAATGTGAAATGTTTCATTTCAGTTCGAGTTTCATGTGCATAGTGTTAGATTACTTTCGGTGCCCACCCATAGTTTTGATAATACTAAAAATATAATCGACGGATAATTTACATCTTCAAGATACAATATGGTCATGAGTAAAACTAAATGTGAAACGGGTAGCAAACGATTGCGAACGTTTTACCTTTTTTATAACACGATTGCGAACGAATGTGCTTATCAAAGAATTTTTTTTTTTTAGACGAGGAAAAACGAACAAATTCGAATATTTTTGTATACTACGTTGCCAAGTTTATATTTTTCTAAATATGTTAAATTTCTGCATTTTATTTCATTTTAGGATTTAATTAATTCTTTTTTATTATTAAAATCTACTCAATATTTATAATACTGTTACACTATGATAACGTTAGAAATTCAAATAAAATGATACAAAATATGTGTTTAGCTAAAAAATGTTTCTTGGAACAAATATTAATAAAATTATATAATAATGTTTAATTCAGAAAATACTGTATAGAACTTAAATGAAATAAAAAATAAATTACAAAATAATAGTTTTGAATAATACTTCTTGTTTATACGAATTGAGTTGGTTTTCCATCAAATTAATATGAGTTTAGAAAAAATATTATAGTTGAACATGTTAGTATTCATTCTAGATCGTATTTATCTTATCGCCTGGCGTAATAGTAGAAAACTATCGTTGTTAATCTTATAAGATTTGATTATTTGAAAATAAAATAAAATTTGAACAAATAATATTAAATTCATTAATTTAAAAACATTAATTAACTATCGGTGAGTTACGATAACAAATAACTAAAATATCTAATAATAAGATGAGGTACTCAGTCCCTTCCCAAATCAACCACTTCCTATTAGGTAAAAAATATGATGTTTATATGATTATATAAATAGATATTTAGCAGTAAAATAAATTGAAAAATATTATATTATTTATATCGTATGAACGTAATGATACGAATATTAATATAAATATAATAAAATAAATTGATATTGTACAATATGTAATTAATCATTTTCGTTCGTAAGCTACCGTTTTCTTTGACCAAAGTGACCGTAGGATCACTAGTATAAGTTTGCTTGCTGTTCCTTTGACTCGTGTCACATTTACTGACAATGTTCGAGAAACTCACAAGTGACAAATAATTATACAAGTATACCGATCCCACGACATGGCAAGACTCCGCAAGTGACGAATATTTGGCAAGTACGCCAGCCGTGGGAATCCGGCTCAACTCCAAATCCGACTACGCCGTACGAAAAATGGTAGATAAAAAGTTTCGCAATCGTGCCATTCGTAATCGTATTTTACCCATGTGGCACACGTTGAAGATTATTAAAATTATAACATCTCCGAATAGTGTGTATAAAATATAATCTAATGGTAATAAAAATGTATTGAAAAATGTTCTAAATACAAGTGTAATTAAATAGCTGTTTTACATCTAAGCCCCGGGCATATGATTTACACGATTACGCAAAAACAGATGATAAAAATGTGTTAGCCCAAAAGTTATAATAAACGTAAAAAACGATACACAAAATAATTGTTTAAAATCAACGACCTTGTGTCCTTGCAATTGAGAATAATAATTAATAGTAGTGGGACGAATAATATATTAATTCGTTTATAAAAATTGTATTATAACAAATGTTAAAAGTAACAGTCAAGATTCCCATGGTGAGTCTTTTTTTATGTTAGTTGTATATTTTTTTCTGTAAACTTGGTACCAAATTATGATTTATCGTATTTGAAAACAATTGTGAACGAAGAGGTCGGAGAAAAATATAATTTATCAAATATGTCTTCAGCCGTAAATATACAAGAACATAATCATTTATGGCGTATTTCAAACTTTAAAACGTTATTTGTAAAAAAATAATCGGAAAAGGAACTAGGTCAGATATAGCGAATGTACAACATTGAGTAAAATATTTAGGTTTGAACTAACATGTTCCATAATATTTTCACATGAAACACAAATCTATGTTTGCATTATCAAAAGAAATATAAACGCTTGAGAGATTACATTTAATGTAACACGCCTGAAGTTATTTTTGGTTTTTCATACATACCTAAAAAAATTACCGGAAACATCGAAAAAAATATTTTTAAAGTAACATCTGTCACAAATTTGTAATCAAAATATATTATTGCGTAAAATAGTTTACGTTGATATGACTCTCGGAAAAAATTTGATGGAAAAAAATTAAAAAAAAATTTGAAGACCAAATGCAGCCATCCCTTAGCTTCGAATTCAAAATCGATATTGAAATCCTAAAAATATAAGCCATACGTTCGACTAACCACATCAAAATAATGCAATGAATAATAAACATAATCAACTCCGCAAAGGTGTTAAGGATTAATTGTTACGCGAACGTCGGCGATTTTGCTTTCATTATTTTCCAACGCTTCCTCAGCAGTATGCGGACACTTCATTCCGATCGAATACTAAGGTTAAATTTATAAAACGAAAAACATCGTTTTGTACCGGTGTTTGTCCACAACAGGGAGGTTTCACTGTATCATAGCGATAAGTTATTTTTTTTCAACGCTCCCAACCCTCACAAACCACACCCCGGTTTTAATATGTCAGGTCGGTTGTACCGAGATCGTAACAAAACATGGTTTCGCCCGAGGCGCCAATATTTCTAGTGTCGGCTCTGTATGTGTATAATAACTGATAACATCATAAGTATATCAATGAATATCAATGTAATATGTTATGTAATGTTTTAAATGTATTGATTAAATATACTATAATGTATATTTAATCAATGTAAACGTACATTCATGCATTAGTTTATATTAATTTATGATAATATTGATTTGACTTAACACAGGGAATAATTTTCTTATATATTTGTACAAACGTAATTTTTGAAATAAATATTTCATTAAAATTAAAAATTGTTTAAATAATATTCAACTTATGAGGGGGGCAAAATGATAAGTTTCACCTCTTAATATTTTTTTCTGGAGGGGCAATAGCTCCCCCCCAATGCCACCTAGGACCGATAGCTACTATTTTCCAAGTTTTGATTTCGTGTGGTAGTGGCGATTATTGGACGTGAATACAACAGATATTCGAACAAGTACCGAGAAAACCCATGATACTTGATTCGTTTAACTACAGTTTACATATCGTAGTAATACAAGTACGATTCGATCGTCATTGGTCATAATTGTAATCGTTGTAATCGTCTTGGTATAATAAATATCGTCAAATCCTGGGCCGTCATAGAGTCTTAGTCAGTTTGGATTATTGAATCTTTTCGACACACACACACACACACAATATATTTATAAATATATTATAAAATAAATGTTCACTATCCATTTCTTAACCATGTGCTAAGCAAACTAGCAGCCAGATTTTCTAACCATCACGAAAAGTTTGGGAACTTCCAGATCTTACTGCCAAAATTTATGAAAAATAAGAATGATATTAAAAAAAATTGACAGAAATCCAGAAAAAGGAAATAAACTAAATAAAAAAATTGAAAATCTGTTGAAGTCAAGTTGAAGTGTTGAAGTTGAAAGAAAATCTGTTGAAGTGAGTATCAATTATGAATCAAGAAGTGGGAAGAAATAAGTGATGACTTAATTAGTTAAATGCAATTAAAACCTCGGAATAGTGTGATTAACTGTTTTTTCCTTATATTTATACTTTTCTTAAAATGTTGTCCACTTTTCCTGTGTCTACTGCAAATGCGGAACACTCTTTTTTTTACAATAAAGCGCTTAAAGACATATTTAAGAAATACCATTGGTTAAGAGCGACTTACTGGACTAGTTCTTCTAAATATTTATAAGAGACGTAATTGTTGATTCTTTACTAATTGTGAACAAAGTAATATAGCTTAGGCAATGATTAAATTTACTTGTATAATATTGAATTTTTAAAAATAACATTAAAAGTATTTTATTAATATACCTATACTTGTATTTTTTTTTTCATGTCAGCTTATTACTACTAATTGAAAGTCAAAACCCCTTCCATTAATAATCTATACCAACGCTCCCGATATAAGGCCTGCACACACACACACACACACACATATCTTGTACAGCTTTAATCGTATCATCGCTCTCACTGTAATGATAATATTTTTCCGAATGTCTGCTGTTCCAGGGAAACTAAACTGTGGATTAAAACACTAATCGTAGCAGTAGCCGACGAACATTATTATATTTTTGTACGTTTTCGTTTTATCATCATCAAT